TAGGGGTACTACTGTAACACATTACAGCACTCCACCGGAGAAAAGCAACGTGATCTAGTGCTGAAATAGGAATTACTTTAATTGAACACCGAAGAGAATTCATTTATCCATCTATTCATCCCATAAACCTTTCTGAGTAGCTCCTTTGCAAAAGTCATTACATTTGCTGTTTGAACACAGAGCAACATGCTAGACAAAATTAAAGGTAAGTTAGCACGATGGATAGGATATAAATGATGTAATGGTCATATATATTAAAAATTATATGAGGGAAAATATTTTCCTAAAAAGGCCACTCATTCTGTGGTGAGAAATTGCCACAAGAAAGGCTTTGGAGAAATGAGAAGCCTGAGTGATGGTGGTCCAGATCAGAGAGAACATGGGCATGGACCTGGGCTGTGTGCATGGAATTATGGGTAGGTTGAAGTGATACAGATCTTAGTGGCTGCTGGGATGTGTTGGGCAAGGGAGATGACCCCAGAGTGGAAGGCGGGGTCATTTATCGGGAAGGCTCAGCCTGCTTGGAGGAGGATGCAGGAATGTGGCGCTGACAGACTGTTGGAGACACTCGTGTGTTTGTGTAGGAGGATCTGGACCTAGAGGCCCAGGGGGACCTAAAGGTTTGGGAGTCATCGCAAATAATTGGTCATATGTTCCATAGGAATAGATGAGGCTTTCCCAGGAAAGCATTCGGTGCAAAGAAAGTTAAGGACAGAAACCTAGGGAATACCATGCCAGTGGTGGGTGGAGGCTGACAAGCAAATCAGTGAGGAGGGACAGTAAGAGGAAGGGAGAGAGGCACAGAGCCAAGGGATGAGAAGTGCAGGAAGCCATGGAATGCTATCTCTACATCCATCTCGCTAATAGAGATGTCTTGCCTTAGGCAGTGGGTGGATAGAGCATCAGCCTGCGGACCAAAGGGGCAAAGGGGCCCACGTTTGATTCTGGTCAAGGGCACATACCTTGGTTGCGGGCTTCTCCCTGCCCCAGGCCTTGGTTGGGCTTGTGCAAGAGGCAACCAATCGATGAGTTTCTCTCACATTGATGTTTCTATCTTTCCCACTCTCTTCCACTCTCCCTAAAAATCAATGGAAAATATCCTCAGGGGAGGAATAACAACAAAAAAAAGTTTTTTCCCACTGTGGAAATTCCCAGTGTCTCAGTTTTCTTTCCCTTTGTTACATGATACAATAGTGTCAGCACCTTAAGATCTGTATTTGAATGCAGACCTGCCAAAAAGGCGCTGCTGGGAGCCTGTGCAGGGAGGAATCCTGGCAGAGATACTGCTGAGGCACAGAGGGAGTGGAGAGGAGGTCTGCAGTGTGACCATCCCGTCCCTCCACGCCCGGGGCTGTGTCCCAGCTTGGGGAGTGACAGCTGGAATAACAAAGCAGAGCTCCTGCCCATTTGCCAAATCTTGGCCGAAAAGGAGGCGGGGCTTCTGCCTGCAGAAAGGGACGGTGTCCCTTCACCTTCAGTGAAGTCAGGGCTTGTTTTCGAAACAAGCATAAAAAAGGTATAATTGACTACATACGGATCTAAAATTTCTCTATACCCACACCGTAAAGCTAAAAGACAGCTGACAACTAGGGCTTAAAACCTGGCAACATGTGACGGACTGATGTGCAGTCTTGTATCTTACAATCCATAAAATGACCACCACTCCGATGGTCACAAAGTAGAGCTATACAAGCAGAAGAATAAAGGATGTTCAGTTTTCACAGTAACCAAAGTCACCGAACTTGAAACCAGATGCCATTTTTAACATCAGTAATGATAAAAGGAAAAGGCACATGCTACAGGTGGGAAGCCTAACTTCCTGGGAATAACCAGGCAAACCTCATCTTCCTGGGCCTCGCATATTCTGTGTTTTTACAAACTGAAGCAAGACCCTCCACCAGCAGAGACTATGAATTGCCAAAGGCCCAGATGATGGTCAGCATTCTTTAACAATAAAGTAATTTTTAACGTAAACACATTAGTTTTTAGACATAATGCTATTGCGCACCTGATGGATTACAGGACAGTGTGAACATTTATCTGCAGTGGTAAACCATACAGTTTGTGTGACATGCTTTATTGTGACAGTCACTTCATTGTGGTTGTCTGGTTCCCAAATGGCAACATCCCTGGGTAAGCCTGTATGAAAAGTTCAAAACTTTAAAGACATTTACACTGTCCTTTAACTGTACGTTTCTACCGTCAGGAACTTATCCAAGGGAAGTCACTGGGGTCGTGTCTAAAAACAGGTACCATACGCGGTCCTGGCTATAAGGAACAAATAAACCATCAATGAAACATCCCAACAAGGGATGCCGCAGACCAGGCACCAGCGGAGATGTGACCGCGTCAGTGGCGAGGCCAGTAACTGGCCACTTCCAAGCCCGGGCGCCGCTCCCTGCCTGGGAGGGACGGACTGTACCCATCCTTCCCACGGAGGAAGCAGAGCCAAGGAGTGACAGCAGCATTGGCCCCTGGTCTGTGAAGTGGACGTCCATGCTCTTAGCCCCACCAGGGAAGTGAAAACGGGCGTAAAACAAGTCTCCTGGCCCCTGTTCACAAACACGGAAGCCCGCGATGCAACGCCCGTTAACAATCGTCCAGGCAGACGCCGCCGGAGAGCCAGTCCTCCTAGTGCAACAGAGTGAACCAGGCACGGCCAAGTGTAACGTTCTCGTCAGGTATTTATTATCCTAAAGACTAGCACATTTACAGCATACATGGCTTTGAATGAGCTAAGAATATATAAAACGGTACATGTTTACATATATATATATGTATATATTAATACTGGCCAAAACAAATAAATAGAAGTACTTTAGTGCACCAAGCTTGGCAAATACACCTGTGCAGGGGCAAAACTGTACTATACAATGTCCGTGTGTTTTAGAGGAAACCAAAGGCAACGGCTGCAGGTGCCGACACCCACAGCACCCCGATGCTTTTCAGCTCTCGATGCTTCCTGTTCGGTGGGCCCGAGGAGGGCACTGGCGGAACCTCTGTTCTGTGGTGACCACAAGACCGCCTTCCTGTGCAGCTGGAGGCCCAGCTCCTCGGCGCCCAGGCTGCCGCCTGACAGCGGCGTCGCTCAGGCTTCGCTCCGCGGCGGGGGGTGTGGCGGGGCCGGAGGCTGGCCGCCCGGAGGGAGCCGCGGCCGGGCTCAGACAGGGTTCTGGAGCCTGAGCGTTTCCCACATGGTTAGCCAAGTCTTCGAGTGTTATGATGTGCATGATATGAGGCCAAATTGGAAAATAATCCATAAAAAGGTGACCCATGCAAAACTGCTAACAGTTGACTCAACATCTGCTATATTCCCTTTTGGTCAATGAAGGCATTTAATGCTCTTCAGACGGTAACAACAGAAATGTGGGTGGCATTTAATTTAAGAAGACAAGGGAATATTTTAAACGGTAGTGATGATAAAATAAAAAAGATGAAAATATAAAAGATACTAGAAAAATTACAAAAAGAATGAAGCGGTGAGAGGTAAAGGCTAAGTCAGCCACGTTGGAAACTGAACAGGGATGGGCCCGAGAGCGCCTGCCTGGCCCCCCTCCGCGGTGGGCACGGCGGGCGTGGGCTCGGACAGCGCTGAGCTGCAGCTGTCCCTCAGTTCTCATTCTCCAGCGTCCCGGGGCCTCGGGAGACAGCAGGCTCTCTGCGCACTGGCTTCCCTGGGGAAGGGATCTGGAAGGCCATCGGACGGCACCCTCCCTGCGGCTCTCCCCTCTGTCCCTGCCACGGCACTCTGGCCTGTGCCTCAGGTCCCAGGCCCAAGTGTGCCCCATGTTTCCAAGTGGCATTTCTTAGACACAGGGACTTCCTAAGGGTGCACCAATCATTAGGACCAACATCATCACCGTGTCTCATGTATTTCCTTTACAGCCTTTTAAATAACATATAAACATAATCACAATAAACAATTGAAAAGACATAAAAACCGAGGAAAAAACTTTGCTATGTGCAGGTAAGACTCATCATCTTATAATAGATGACCAGACATCATTTTCTATGAAATCCCTGTTTTATGGCCCATTAATCCCTTTCAAAATCTCATTTTCAGAGCTAATTTCAACTTTCTCAATAGTCACCTTTCATAACAGAATGAGAAGATAGTAACAATTATTACAAACTTAAAAGACACTTTCATCAGACCTTCAAACATGATTGTATGGTTTTTTTAGAAGACAATTGGGAAACCCACAAAAGGAAGTCTGTTCTGAAAAGATTTAGGCTTCCACTGTCTACACATAAACCCCCACTGCTGAGAGGCCCTGGGCCCCCGGGGAGGGGCACCCGCACGGGGCAGGGTGGGCCGGGTGCACAGGCTGAGAGGACAGGCAGGCAGCTGGCTCCCTGGTCCCAAGCTCACACCGTGCCAGACCTCCGAGGAACAGAAGCGCCGCCCCTGAGTGAGCGGGCGGCTCAGGCACGTGTCCCCCACCATCAGGCCTGTCTGCTGCTTCTCAGCCTGCGCTCTGGCCCACCTGTGCCCTCAGGGTCGTTCCGAGCCACCTGCTCGCTGCCGGAGCCAGAGCTGGCCTCTCCCCAAACTGGAATTAACATTCAGCACTCACTGTCTGTCCAGGCCCCAACTGTTTGCTATTTGTTGTTTTACATTCAGGTTTATAAGTAGATTGTAATTCGATGCTCAATTTTGAGTTACTTAGTAGAAAAATAAGTGAGCAGCTGCCTGGGGGGCATTTAAAAAGCCTCAGCGTCTCAGGCCTGCCGAGCTGGCGTCCCACGGGTGACGATCACCACGTCTCCGTGGAGCTCTGGCTGCAGGCGGTTAAATGGGCAGTTGTTACTCTCCACACTATTGAGCCAACATTACCTCCTACTAATTCCAACCGAGTCAAAACATGCTTCATAGACTCTTTAGTGAATATCTTTTAAAAAACACAAAGTAAAAACCAGTCCCAGGTCTTCGGGAAGAACCGGAATGACACTAGAGGGCACCCACAGGTTCTAAACAGCTAAGGAGAGGACACGCGTGTTCAAGTTTCAACCTTGCCGTAAGTCCCTTCGGGAGGCCTGTAATGCTTGGGGAAAGCCTTCAGCTGCAGGGAATTAAACGCATATTTGCGACTTCCAACATTCTTCATTGTATTTTCTCTTCGACAACCCTCACTGGGGAAAAAAACAAGCACAAGAAATGACAGCAGTAAAAAAGGAACAAAAGAAAAGACTTAAACTAAGATGAAATGAACTGATTATTTTTATAGCATTAAAAAAAAGGTTAATTAAATGGGTGCCGGACTATTTGCAACAATACACACGTAGATGGTTTCTGAACAAGGCAGTTAAGAAGCACAGCGATGGGCGCGTGTGGGGGCTGAGTCTTGCATTGCAAAAGCAGCACTGTAAGGGGCAGCGCACGCTTTTTTATGGTTAATGGCTTCCTGTGTTTCACGTCTAGTATTTCGTGGTTCTATGGTGGTTCAGTCTGTTACATAAGTTAAATGAAAATGTAGTGTGACTCTTACCAAAGCCTTTAAGGAGCAGCATCTTTCTATTTAGCAAAGCCAGTGAGAAGGCCGTTCCACCGGCTGGCCCCTAAGAGCAAAGCACCGTCCAGTGGCCCCGGCGGCTGCCTGGCCGGTCTGGATGGCTGTCAGGGCTGGAGTGTGAAGGAAGGACCCCCAGGTTCCTGGTGGCAGCCGGCCCCCTTCTCCCGGGGGGCTGCCCTCAGGGCGGCCACCTTCCAGAGGAGTGCCAGAGCTAGTGAGAGCCCACAGGCGCCCTTTCGTAGGGAAATGGTGCTGCATTTGGTGGGAGTTGTCATGGTAACCCAGTGTGCAAAGCAAATGCAGACAAGAGGATGAGGTTGGCAGTCAGGCCTCGTGGTCCCGAAGGAGAGCATCGGGAATTCTCTGGGAAGTGTTCACCAAATTAACAGGTAAAAGCAATTCTGGATAGAAAGACTTTCTACAGCACGGTCTATTTTTGTATTTTCTAAGACTAGCGACTAAACCAACTAGTTATCAAATTTAGTACAAAACTCCCTTATGAGATGTAAAATTTGCAGTTACCAAGAAACAGTGAGTTTAAAAAAATATTTCCAATCATAGCAACACCATCATATCATGCATTTAAGAAAATATGTTATTGGAAAGTGCCTGAGCCTTTTAAAGTGAAAATGACATTCTCATTTTCAAGAACGTGAGATATTTTGGGTGAGGCTGTAATTTTATGCGGAAGGTAAGCATGGGTAGTTCAGAAAAGTAGGCCCCTGCTTGTGATTAAGTACCTTAGTCACTCAAACATGCTTCCCGGCCCCAGGGCCTCCGGGCCTCAGGGAGAGGACACAGGAGGCCAGGAGGCCCGGAGAAAGCGATGGCCGAGTGTATCTCCTCCAATAACCAGGTGAGAGTTAATCCCATGGGAGCAGAAGCTTCAAGTTCTACACCCAGGTAGTCTCCATCCTTAGCCCTGCTGCGGAGGCAGAGCCCGGAGCCAGGCTTCTGGCTGAGCGGTGCTCCCTGTGGAGGGAGCGCACTGACCACCAGGGGGCAGCTCTCGTGTTGAGTGCCTGCCCTCTGGTGATCCCTGCAGGTCATAAGGACCTGTCTTCACTGTTGGGTCAATTCTCATATGAGCCTATTATTAGATAGGATGTGCAGACTTCTCAGAAGCCATCCATCAGGAATCAATGCCAAACTGCTTTGGGGGAGTGAAGAACAATTTGGGAACTTGGACATTATCTTTTATTTATATGTTAAAGAAGCTGATACCGGCTTAAGTGGCTGGATGGATCGTACCTTAAGCTTTGTTTTGGAGAGCAGCTGTTTAAATGAAAAATCAGAATGGAGCCGAGACACAGCTCTGGTTCCCCTCCGTGGGCTCCACTTCTCGGATGGGGGGATGCCCGTGTCTCAGGGCCCTGACCCCGCCTGCCCTGGCCGGGCCCAGCACCAGCCAGCCTCCCTTTAGAAGCAACCGGGAAACCAGCACCAAGCTCAGCGATGCCCTTCCTGAGCCTTCCCTGCTCCATCCTGCCTGCTTCTCACTAAAGCAGGGGAGCCCGGATAGATGTTCGGCCTGATTTAATGAGTAAAAGGCCTTCCTGAGGTTGAAACCCAGTATGAAGGGTGGGCACACTGAGTCTCTCTTCTCAGCTATTCTGCCCAAAGCCAACAGGCCACAGCCTAGGCTGATGGTGTCCTCCCTCGTGCTGGCCCTCATGACTCTACTGACAATGTGCTGGCTTTGGACTGGGCCCGGGAGAGCAAAACAAAGGACCACAAAGAACCGTACCCTCTCCCCCTCCCATCCCCATCCTCACCTAAAGCCCAGCCCGCTGCAGCCGGAAGCAGCCGGAGCCCCACCCACCTCCGGGCTTCTGCTGTGGCATGGCCCCCTGCTCTGCGGTGGGTCCCCAGGGCGTCTATCCATGGAGAGTCACAGACAATGGAGGAGGCCCAGGGAAGAGGAGGACAGGCTGTGCACAGTCAGAGGTGAGCGCCAGTGCGCGTCACCCGGGGCATGGCCATCTCTCCCCAGAGCTGTGCCCGGGAGGCCGTGGGGGCAGCCTGTGTGTGGGCTCTACCTTCTCGCCTCCACGTAAAGCGAACCAGAATCACGTATGCCACGAGCAGGAGAGCAAGTGGGAAGGTCCTCCCCACGGGCGAATCAGTCCTCCTGCATTCGCTCCTGCTAACTGCTTCTGCGACTCCTGGAACCCAGACTCAGGTCTGATGCCAAAACAGGGAAACCCCAGGATAAGTTCTGGAAGTCTGGGAGACAGATGGAGAGGCCAGACGGGGTTGTGTGCATGTGTGAGTGCAAAGTTTCTGGAAAAGCCAGTTTTTCTAGATGGGTAAAATACAAAAACCATTTTCATAAAGGACAGCCAGCCAGAGGTCAAAACCAGATCACACCACATCTGAGCTGGAGACAGAAGCTCTGGCATTGCTCCTGAGGGCCTGTGGAAGGCCCCCCAGGTGGCTCTGTGACCATCACAGCGCACCACTCCTGCCAGTGTGGATGGTAAGTCTCCCCAATTTATGGACAGGGCCTACTTAAAATTAGGAGCGATAAGAACAGAAACCAAAGTAACTCCTCTCTCACAGCTCCATCTGGCACAACTGTCCGAAAGTCAAGCCTCATTTTTGGGTCATTTTTCTTTGATGTTTGGTTTTTCCATTATTAACTTCATTTGATTTCTGGAGAGAAAATATGTCTGGACTTTAATCCAAATACCAAGCTCTTTAAAATGAAAAATGCTATTTCAAGAGGAATGAACGTGTCTAACTCTAACAGCCTTTCATTACTCTATGCATTAGTTCCTGTAATTGCTTTTACGGTCTATCAGGATGTAGAAGAGTAAATAGAAAGCCACATGCAATGTTATTTTGTGTGCCTCTCTCGGTACAATGTGCTACTGTGTTCACAGCTTCTGTCATCTCACACTGGAAATAATAAACATGAGCAGGGAAATGTTATGATTCCACCAACTGTCTGCTCTGGAACGTAAGGGCTGTGTCTGAAGTGAAAGCAGGAAGGCCATGTCCCGTTAAAGAGGCTCACACGGAGGAGCCAGTTACAAAGCATCTGCCGTCCTCATTTCTCTTCAAAAGGAAAGGGAAGGTCACGGCACATGTAAGGAATAGTATCAAATATACAAATTCTTCTCAAACAGAATTCCTTTCTCTTGGAAACAGGGCATGTGAGAGATACAGGTAACAAACAGCTTTACATCAGAAAATAAGATAGTACAGGTGATCACAGGCCAGCCGCACAGTGCAGGCACAGGCACCGTGACAACATGGTACAGCACTGAGACTATAGGAGTTAAACAAACGAGTCCTTTGGGTGAAGTAATTCGGCAGGTATCACAGTTCCCAACAACCAACGGCAAACCGTAAGGCATGACTCTCTCCCGGCAGACCACGCTCTGACATCCCTCTGTCCAGGTAGGTGCCCGGTGGTGGGACATACTCTGGCACTTTGGTTGTCTTGTGACTAACTTTTCATAATGACATTCATTTGCAACGCAATTTGGCCACCAGGTACGCTATGCTCAGGAAGAGCCACACAATCAGTAAATTGGGGCTCAGCGCTAGCAGCGGGATGGAACAGAGCAGGCTGGGGTCTAGCCTTAAGTCTCGGATGGGCACCAGGCCGCTCAAGTTCTTCTGGGTGACTACCTCCCGTGTTCCAATGCTGTGAAAAGGAAAAGGTTTGGGAGAAAGGAAAAGAAAAAGGAAAAAGAAATAAAGAAAAAGAGACACACATGCAATGGATTTTATCAAAGTTATGGGAAAAAGAGGAGAACCAAAAGATAAAATAAATTAAAAAAAAAAAAGGGATGAAACCACAACAGAAAAGGTGTGAAAGGGATACCAAAACAAAACCAGCACAGTTACAAGAAAAAGGAGAGAAAGAGAAGTGGAAATAAGAAAAAGTACCGTAGTCTACCGAAACACACACGTAGGCGGACGGAATGGTTTTCCATGTTCACGCTCAGCTGCCTGGCACATGCGGCCTGCCATGCGCTCACATGCTGCGAAGACATGGACCTCAAACAGCAAGCTGAGCATGAAGAACCATTGGGTGACCTTCCCACAGGTGCTGAGCTTGCCCATGCTGCCTCTTGATGAGCGAGCGGTTCAGACAAAACCACTTACCTCGAGTGCCAACCGCAGGCAGGGCCCGCGCCAGACTGGCGGGGCTTTCGGGCTGGGCAGTGGCCGGCAGAGCTACCTGTGGCTCCAGCTTTGCAAGTTATTGTCCCCAAGAATGGCACCCACCCCGCTTCCCTGGAAATGGGGGGGTCCCGCCTTGGGTGCTCCAGGAGAAATGCCCGAGGGGAGAGGCCGCCAGAGCCACAGGGCATGGACCACATGCCCTATGCATGGCCACCAAGGTGGCGAGAGTGACAGAGCCCGCAGGCAGGGACACAGCGGCAGCCCCCGAGGACCCACAGGGAGGGGGCCGGGCCAGACGCCCTGGCTTTCCCAGAGAAAGCAGAAGCCTGGCTGGCCCTGCAGGATGTGCCGCTCTGACAGGCACACTTGGGGCTGCGGGCACCAGCGGGCAGTCCCCCTCCCAGCCCGGGCAGGCGGGCATCACTGTGGCCACGTGGGAAGGCCCTCTGTGAGGGCTGAAGGGGGCTGGAGGCAGAGGGGCCACCAGCAACGGACACGTCGCTCCCGCCGCCTGTCCCATGGCGTCCTGTGATGGCCTGAATATTCATGTCCCCCAGACTGGCACATTTTGAGAGAGCTGGCTGCTCACATTTGGTAGCATGGCACTGCCACCACCCACCCTGGGCCTCGAGGCGGCGCCCCCCGGCCTGCTCACTGCCCTTTCCCGCCTGTCCCGTGCCAGGGAGAAAGCAGAGACCCCAAGCCCACTCCTTCACTTGGGGCTGTGGCCACTGCTGCCGCTGCCTGCACAGGGCGCTCAGGCCTGGCCACTCCTGCAGCCAGAAATAGCGGCTGAGGACTCAGTCCCCTTGGCTTCTAGTGTGTGAACACACATCTTCCCACACGGATAAAGCAGAAAACATGGAAGCCACATGTAACAAATGCATGTGGCCACAGCCCCAGGTGCCACAGGCAGGTGGACAGGCAGCAGGTGCTGGGGCTGAGGATTCTGGGGAGAGCGGAGGCAACATGGGATGGAGTGTTGTTTTTACTAACTTCTTAAATAGTTATTATGGTAATTTATATGTTCCCTGTAGAGATGTTAGGAAATTCAGAAAAATATAGACAAGAAACTTGAAGAAGACAAACATCATTGGAGGCGGTGGGGCAGGGAGGCAGGGAGGCAGGGGAATGCTGTTGCCGCTGGAGGCCTTCCCTGCTCAGGCCTGGGCCTCACTGCAGCAAAGAACAGGCAGCCCCTCAGACAGGGGGCGGGAGTGGGAACAGCCCAGGCAGGGAGTGCCCCTGGTGTGGCAAGTCTGCCAATTTGGCTTAAAGCCTTACAACCTAAGAAATCAACAGGAAAAGTGTAGCTGGGAGAACACAGACGTATGCCAGTACTCGCCGCGTAATTTAAAGTACTCAAAGCAGCCCTGGCAGTGTGTATAGTGGTCAGAGCTGCATGTACATGAAGGGTCATGGGCTTGATTTCTGGTCAAGGTCATGTACCTGGGTTGCAGGTTAGATACCTGCTCTTGGTGGAGGTGTGTGTGGAAGGCAACCAGCGCTGTGTCTCTCACATCAATGTTTCTCTCCCCGCTTTACTCTCTAAAAATCAATGGAAAAAATAGCTTTAGATTAACAAAAAATAAGTAAAGTGCTCAAAACCATACACAGCTTAGTTTGTGACGCTAAAAATGGTCAGGTCTATATTTGTGAACCTGAAAAACGCTCACAAGGCAGTTACATGGAAAAAAGCAGGCTAGGCCTGACTGGACTGGCTCAGTGGTTGTGTCCACCTATGAACCAGGAGGTCATGGCTCAATTCCCGGTCAGGGTACACGCGGGGGTGTGGTCCTGAGCCCCAGTGTGGGGCATGCAGGAGGCAGTTGATCAATGCTTCTCTCTCATCACTGATGTTTCTGTCTCTCTTTCCCTCTCCCTTCCTCTCCAAAATCAATAAAAATGTTTAAAAAATAATAAACAAACAGCAGGCTAAAACAATAGGTAGAATTGCACATATAATTGTATTCTTTGTTTTCTGTATTATTCGGGGGCTGGTTAACCAATGTGTGAATTAACTACACTCACACCTGTAAGCATGCATGTATGTATGCAGGTAGGTAGGTACGTGTGAAAGAGTATGTATCAAATGTTAGCACTGTTACTTGTTACGGAAATATGGAAAATTTTTTGGAGTGTGACCACCTCTACTCTAATTTTCTTCCAAGGAATATTGACTAATCACGTGACAGACCGTAAAGTGCTTCGTGTGTCTGAGCTGTAACACTAAGCCGAGCGCCTGCAGGCCACCGGCGGCCAGTCCCTGTCTCTCCCCCGCCTCCGGGGGCCGCTGTGCTCAGGTGCAGCCGGAGGGCACTCTGGTCTCACTGACTAAGACTGGGCGGAGGTCTACGCATCCACTGCACACCAGGCTCAGGCCTGGTCTACCGAATGGTGTGTGCTCTGTGCGCGGATTCGGCCGGCTCCCGGAGACCCCAGGGTGAGTGATGTGCTTGGTGTCCTGTGTCAGCACCTGCTCGGCAACTGCACTCAGCCCACAGCTCCTCTGGGAGCCACCCTCCCCTTCCTGGGCCTCCTCTTCCTGCCGCCTTCCGCTTCCCAGCATCACTGTGTTCCCAAGGAAACCGCCTCCCACTGTGTGGGTGTGGTTCTGCCTGCATGGACCTGCTCCCGAATGGACCTGCTCCTAATATCCGCCCGATAACCACAGGCACCCTCCGCTCCCCCCGCTGGCTGAGGTCTGCATGTCAGCAGACGGGCCTCCCACAGCTCCAGGTGCCAGGACCCTGGGCCCGGGGCCTGAGCTGGTCAGGCGGGCAGAGCTGCAGCTGCCCTGAGGCTCAGGGCAGGGAGGCGTGTTCTGAGATGGCAGAGAGGGTCAGAGGAGCTTGGAAAGCAGAACAATCCCATTTTACAAAGCGCTATTATCAAGAGGCAGGGCTCAGGCATGGCGTTTGTGCATCGCTGTGGGAAGGTCCAAGGGCAGACACATACAGAAAGGATAAGAGAATTGAACACTAAAGAACTTGGTGAGAGGACAGATGACACAGACACTGGTGGAAGTGACACAGGAAACGAGATGTGACAGCATTGGGGACTACAGCGAAGGAGACGGACCAGGTTCTTATCCTTTCTTCTGGAATGTGCGGTGGGTGCTCCCGGCAGGGGTCGGCAGCAGGCAGACTTAGTGCCGGTTTCACCTGCAAACACGCCTGCTGCCTGAATCAGAGCCCCGTTAGGGCGCGGTCGCCCCGGCAGGCGGGGCTGCCGTGACCACAGAGCACTCATCTGACACTTTGCTCATGAAAGCAAACTGTGTCCAGTGCCAGAGAAGCGGCAGACCAGTGCCACCTGCAGACAGCCCTGTCGCTCAGTGAGCAAGGAGCCACACGGCGGGTGAGCGGCAGGTGCAGGCTGAGCACTCTGGCCTGACTCACGCCCACGGCAAGCAGGCTCGCTCTGGCGCCTTGAGCTGCGTCTCCCTGTCGGTCAGTCCTGTGCTAGGCCGCTAGCTTGTGACATTCCCTCGGCTGACAGGAGAGCGCTGTCTCCATTTGACAGCGCCAGTAGTTTGACTTTGAGGACACTAGTGAATTTTCCAAAGTCAAACCAGAGCGTGAGGCCGGGCGGGGGCCTGGGTGGGAGCGGGCAGCGGGCGCGGGCAGCGGCGCAGGCACTCGCTCACCTGCGCATGCACTCCAGGGCCTGGGTGAAGACCTGCGGGGCCATGCCGTGCTCGTGCTGCAGAATCAGGCACTGCTCCAGCGTCACCGACATGGCCGTGCGGTCCTTGGCGCTCTTGCAGCTGGTGAACCGGACCCCGTTAAGGCGGCGGCAGACCTGCCCACAGGAAAACGAGCCACGCTTAGAGGACGACTCTGCAGAAGGAGATGCCCCGCATGGCACAGAGGCTCCAAGGGCCCAGCGCGGTGGCCACAGCTCCCCCCCGAGGCCCGGCCACTCCCTCTGCACTGCTCCCCGCGACGGAGAGAGGCACTGCCAGGGGACCTCTGCCCTCCGGCTGCCCTGGGCACCTGCTCCCACGGGGGCACCTTCCCAGCCAGGCCCCTCCCTTTCGAAGGTCACTCAGTTTGTGCCCTTCCGACTAGTCTCTTCCAACTGACACCGCCACCCTCCACCCATGGGTGCGGGCCTGAGAGGACCGGGAGGAGCAGCACGGACCAGCTCCAGGCCAGAGCAGCCAGAGCACGTCCTGCCCATCAGGGCCTCAGGCCTCTGGCTTCCTCTCCTCTCCCGCGCAGATGGGGGCCGTTCAGAACACTGCCCTGGAGCCCTCGCTCGGGGCCTGGCACACACGTGAGGGGCTCCCAGGCGGGCCCTCCGGGCTGGGAAGGAACACTCAGGGCGTCCCTCCCCCACGGAAGGATGTACTGGGCCACTTCCCCTGCATCACTAGGTACCGTCCCCAAATCCAGAAAGCCTTAAAACAAAAGGGTAAGTTTGTGGCAACCTCCCTTGGGAGCACACTCAGATCTGAGCTGGTGCAAGCCTACTGACCATCTTTATGCCATTTTGTATAAATAGTCACACTTTTTAATGAAGCGACATTAATCACACACGTGCACCATGTTACATGTATGTGCACCAACTGTACAGGTCACTTCTAAGATAAGGAAACGTGTGAATTCCAGACCACCTGGCCACAGACTCCAGGCAAGGGCCCGTGACACGCTGTTACCACAGAGCACTCATCTGACACTTTGCTCGTCGCTCAAGTGAGCAAGGAGCCGTGCGAGGGGTGAGCAGGCGTGTGCGGAGCACTGCGGCCTAGCCCCCTGCCGTCAGCCCTGACACTCCTGGCTGACAGGAGCGCCGTCTCCGTGGGACCGCGCCAGCAGCTTGACTTCGCAGACGCCAGTGAACTTTCCCTCAAATGCCCCCTCTCTGCGGGCGCACCTCAGCCGCTTGCCAGAGGATGTCCACGTTCTTGTTCTTCCTGGCGTGGACGTTCTGGCCCAGGAACCGCAGCAGCTCCGGCAGGCACGTCTGGCTCCGAGAGCGAGGCAAGCCTAGGAGGAGGAGGCGTGGGAGCTGGTGCCACACTGAGCGCAGCCCAGGGGCCGCCGAGGCTCAGAAATGGCAAAGCGAAGCTTCTGGCTGCAGCTGGAAGTCGAGTGAGACTTCAGCAAGAAAGCGAGGTGTGTGGGGCCGGGGCCCGGCCTCATGTCGGGAGAATGCACTGCCTTTCGCTGACAGTCAGTCACTGCAAGGCGCTCGCTCACCTCAGCTCCTCCTGGGGCCGCCAGGGAAGGAGGAGAGGGAGGGCAGAGGTGACCCACCTGGTCTTCGCACTCTCCCCCAGGGACGGAGGACACTGTGGGCTTGGCCTCATTGGGGGAGGTGGGGCGGGCAGCCTCCAGCAGGTGGACCTGGACTGGCCCAGGCAGGGTCACCCCTCCAGCCGCTCCCTCTGCCAAATGGCGTCTCCAGGTGCTTCCGGGACTTAGACCAAAGACCAGTCAGACTGCCACCTCCCCTGATAACCTTGGGACGTTCAGACGGGGTCATCAGAGAAAAAGAGGGCTCTCCAGGTCATGGCTAAAAAAAAACAGCACAGTGCCTAAACCCCCAAATCAAAATCAAATACGTGCAATTCTGGAGTCTGGCAGCACATCCAGTGTCCAGCACAAAACCGCACCCTGGTGGGCACAGGGCCTATGCCACTTATCCCACATCCTGATCTGTGCCCAGCACCGGGCCGCCAGAGGCCCCCTAGGAGGCTCATGCCCCTCCTTGGCCTCATCACCGGGCCACCTTAACACCTCCTGGGGCTTCGCATCACTGGAAACTGGCCGCCCCAAATATCAAGCACAGAACTCCCCCTTCCTGCCCGCAGTGCTTGTGAGTGACTAAGACTGTGGTAGAGCCCAGTGTGACTTGGATGGGGGAGGGGAGGGGTCAGAAAGGGGCCCCTGAGCCTGCGCAGTCCTCGGGGTGGGGCGGGCAGCCTGAGTGGGGGAAGGGATGCTGCAGGGGCAGGGCGGGCAGCACAGGGAGGCCAGGAAGCAGCCGCTGGCAGGAAGCACACCCAGAGGACATAAGACCGTGGGGCAATACTTACAGTCCTCAGGCAGCACTTCCTTAAACTGCTCGAAGTAGGAGTTTAACCGCACCAGACTCTCCATGTTGATAACTTCTTGCAAGGACGTGTCGCCAAACCTTCGGGGTCACAGAGGCTGTTAGTGGCTGATGCTTCTCTCCTCGCACCCAGCCCTATGCGTGCCAGCTAACGCTGCACACATGCACCGAGCACGCCCCATGCTGAGACTCGCTCCCAGGCATGAGGCTGTCTCCACTGCCTTGGTGACAAGTTCAAAAACATTTCAGCAGGAGCCACGCACACTGGTTACAGACGTGCAGGAGGCAATGAGAACTCCAGGGGTACAGTCCCCCCTGCGTCCCCCGGGCGGTGCACCCCAAACCCCACAGTGCTGGCCGGCGGGAGTCCCGTACTCCCACCCCTCAAGGACTCAGGAGAGGGGCCAGCAGGGGGCGGCGGCTGGGGAGTGAGGACGGGTCCTGCACTCGGTGTGAAAGTGCGCGCTGTCTCCGAGTGACCACGCTCGGTGGATTGTGTGGAGACCAGCTCTCTCACCATGCAGTCACCCCGCCCACCTTGCAGGCAGCCAAGGCGTGCCCGAGGCGCAAGGGCGAGGCAGAGGAGACGCCACGGAAAGGTGCGAAGTGGACACGCCAGCAGCGAACCCCAAGGCCGGAGGCCAGGCCCGTCCACCCTTCCTCTGAGGGGTCTCCTGCACAGCAGCCTCTGTGTGGCCCAGGTCCCTGCTCAGAGGCAGGGCCCTCCTGTGGGTCCCCCACAGCCTGTCCACCTGAGGACCACGATGGCTTCCCCTCTGCGCCTGCAGCTGGGCTTGTCTATGAGCTGAGGGGAGTGTCCCAGGAGCCTGGCCTCACCCACCGTCCGTCCTCTCTACCAGCCCCGCTCACTGCAGTGGAGACGCCTGGCTGTCACTGTCCCACTGCCCCTCTCTCTCACACTGGCCTCTACCACAGTCACACGGCTGAAAGCTCCATCCACACGCCTGTCTGCCTCGGGCTTGACTCTTTCCAACAACCTCTGCAGCACATGTTCCTAACGTCATCCAGGACACGTCAGCCAGAAAGTCATCGCCTTGAAAGGTACCTGACTGTGTCCTCCTTATGTTCTTCCATGTCTCCCCAGCCACAGCACATGTGCCAGATGGGATGCCCGCACACTAGGGGTCGATAGACCATGACCACTGGTTTAAAGGCCCAGTAGGAATATGGCTGATCATCCTGGAGACCAAACGCCCTTAACCGAGAGTTAAGAGACCTTTTCATTGTAAAGTACACACATCACATGATGGGACAGAAAGCAGGAAAGATCTTCATGTACTAGTGAAATGTCATGACAGGTTACACACCCAACCCCTCCTCCTCTGCAGCACATAAATGTGCACACACTGCCGCCTGGCAGGTGACCCTGCAGGGAGTTGACAAGGTGTAAGCCTTTAGGACCCAGGTGACCCTCCGCATGCCCACAGGCCCCTCTAACTCGCACTGCCCGTCTTCCCGGGACCTAGAAGTTCCTCCCTGCCTGCCTCGCTCAGGCTTCTGGGCCTGGGATGCCAGGTCTCTCCTCTGCCTCTTCATTTGACCAAAGGAAGGAGCTAATGCCGCTCCTGGGGCCAAAGGAAGGAAGGAGGATAAAGTCCATCCAGCATCTGTCCTTTTCCTGTCATCTCCATGTCTGCCCAGCCCTCCGCCTGGCTGCACACGCACCTCTCGGCCAGCGTCTGCTGCTCGTTGATGCCCACGTTGAAGAGGACCGGCTGCACCCGAAGCAGCATGCCGCTCTGGATCTCCCGGGGCAGGGTGTCGAACAGCGGGGCCGGCAGAGGGATCCGCACGTTAAACCCGTCACTAGGAAATGGGAGCGGAGGGTTAGGCTTGTGATGGGGGAGAAGGGAGGGGAGGCGTGGGAGACAAGGAGGGCGAAGCTCTCTGCAACACAGAGTATGGGCGGGCCATCTGGCTCAGTGGCTCCCAAACTGCTGGTGTGAGCCTCCAGAGGATGAAATTAACGTAGAGGGCTATAAGCATTTTTTAAAAATATATGTCTCTATTGATTTTAGAAAGAGGGGGAGGGAGAGGGAGAGAGAGAAACATCGATGTGCGAAGGAAACATCGACCCGCTGCCTTCCACACATGCCCCTAATGGGGATCTAACCTGCAACCTGAGTAAGTGCCCTGACCGGGAATCTACCCAACAACCTTCTGGTGCACAGAACAACATTCAACCAACTGAGCTACACCAGTTGAAGCTGTGATAAGCACTTTTACCTGAATGAAACAATAAAACAAAAGTTAAGACTGCATGGCAGGGACATAGGCCAAGGTGGCAGTGTAGGTAAATGAAGAACTTGCATCCTCTTGCAACCATATAAGAATTATACCTGAACTACAGAACAACCATCATTCAGAACCAGCTGAAACCTGGCTCAATGGAAGTCCTACAACTAGGAATTCAAGAAGCTACATCAAGACTGGTCCAAGGGGCAGAGACATGGTCTGGGCTGGCCCCACACCCACATGTGGCAATATAATAATCAGGAGGGATATTATCTCAGCTGTGGAGGTCCTCCCTGTGGAGTGAGGCACCATATCTGAGTCTCCACCAACCTGGTTAAGGATACTTACCCTGCCCTGGTGATTCCCTGAGACTCCACCCCCACCCTACGTGCAGGCCCACACAAGCTGCTTCCAATGGTTTTCCATAAAACTGGCCTATGTTGCCTCATGCTTCAGACTTTCCTAAAATCTCTCAAACAAGCAGCATCTGGCCTCTATGTACAATGTACCTCTTGCTAAGTGGCCCCAGGCCAGGCACTAGTGATAGCCAGCCTTAATTCACAGCTTGGCCTCTTCTGGGCACCTCCAAGCCCAGCACAAATAGCACCTATCTGCAGATCATTCTGAAACTTATGCTGAATGACCAAAGGCAGAGCCCACCTTTTGGGAGGCCCCGAGACAATACACCCAGTTTTTGGCATGCCAATTACAGTTTCAGACCATGTAAATTACAATGTGGACACCTCCACAAGCAACACACTGAAGGGGCAGACTTGGAGAGCAACAAAGCCCCACTGAAGCAAGTCCTGCTCCATTGGAATATCTCCTGTACAGCAGCTCTTCTACTGTAGTCACAGCTGGTCCTCACAGCCAATGGGCCTTGTGGGTCAATCCCCCCCTTCCAGTGATGCCAACAGCAATCAAGGCTCAACTACAGCAAGACCGTGCACATAGCCCACACCTGGAATTCCTGCCTTGAATGACTGGAGAGGCTGTGCCAGTGGGCCCTACAGGACACCTAATACACAGGGTCACTCTACCAAGTCCAGGAGACAGAGAAGCTTTACCTAATACAGTGAAACAAGCATAGGGAAGCACTGGAAGCAGCTGGCCTTGGTTCACAGCTTGGCCTCCTGTGGGCACCTCTAAGCCCAGCACAAGTGGCAGACATCTGCAGATCACTTTGTGGCCCCGGAAAGAACAGCGGCACCTGAACTTGGCCTGCACCTCCCAGGAAGCCCAACAAGGCACAATGGACCCAGTGGACACCTTCAGACCACACTGAAGCACCTCCACAAACAACACTCAAGGGGTGGACTGCATGGGCACCAGAGTCCCACTGAAGTAAGTCCTGCTCTATGGGGTGGGCCCTACACAGCTGATCCTCCACAGTGGTCGGAGGTTGGTAGTTGGTGGTTGCAGCCAGTCCTTGAAGCTGATCAGGTGGGAGTAAATCCCTCCCATTGACTTACCAAGAGCAATCAAGGCTCAACTACAAGAGGAAGCTGCACACACCTCAAGTGCCCAGCTTAGGTAATCAGGGAGGCTGTAACACTGGACGCTATAGGACACCTATTATATTAGACCACTCTCCCAAGCCTAGGAGACATAGTAGCTCTACCTAATACACAGAAACAAGCTCAAGGAGGTTGCCAAAATGAGACAAAGAAACATGTCCCAAATGAAAGAACAGAATTCCAGAAAAAGAACTAGACAAAATGAAGATAAGCAATCTACTTGAGTCAGAGTTCCAAATACTGGTTATAAGGATACTCAAGGAACTTACTGAGAACCTCAATAGCATATAAAAGGACCAGTCAGAAATGAAGGCAACATTACCTGAAATAAAGAATAATTTGTAGGGAATTAACAGTAGATAGATGAAGTTGAGAATAAAATCAGTGATTTGGAATATTAAGGAAGCAAAAAACATCCAATGAGAAGAGTAAAAAGAAAAAAGAATAAAAAAACGAAGATAGTAAAAGGAGCCTCTGGGACAATTTCAAGGGAACAAACATTCGTATCAGGAGGTGCTACAAGGAGAAGAGAGAGAGCAAGAAATTGAAAATCTATCTGAAAAAATAATGACAGAAGAATTCCCTATCTTGTTGAAGAAATTAGACATACAAATCCAAGAAACTCAGAGTCTCAAACAAGATGAACCCAAAGGGGCTCACACCAAGACACATCATAATTATAATGCAAAAGGTTAAAGACAGATTCTTAAAAGCAGCAAGAGAAAAGCAGTTAGTTACCTATTAGGCAGCTCCCATAATACTGTCAGCTGATTTCTCAACAGAAACTTTGCAGGCCAGAAGGGATTGGCAATAAATATTCAAAGTGATGTAAAGCAACCACAACCTACAACCAAGATTATTCTACCCAGCAAAGCTCTTTTAGAATCAATGGACAGATAAAGAAATTTCCAGACAAGAAAAAACTAAAGGAGTTCATCACCATCAAATCAGTATTATATGAAACTAGAGGCCCAGTGCATGAAATTCATGCACCGGGGTGGTGGGGTGGTGGGAGGAGAGGGGGGGAGAAACCTCAGACCGGCCTGCAGCCTCTTGCAATCTGGGGCCCCTCAGGGGATGTCTGACTGCTTGTTTAGGGCCTATCCTAAACCGGCAGTAAGACATCCCTCTCGCAATCCAGGACCGCTGACACCTAACTGCTCATCCACCTGCCTGTCTATCGCCCCTAACCACTCCGCCCGCCTGCCTGATTGCCCTTAACTGCTCACCTGCCTGCCCGCCCGCCCGACTGCCCCAACCACTTCTGCCTCCACCCCTGCCATTGTGGCTTCATTAAGAAGGACATCCAGAAGGTTGTTCGGCTGTACGGTCTAATTAGCATATTATGCTTTTATTATTATAGATGTTAATGGGTCTTCTTTAAGAAGAAAAAAAGGATAAAAAAATGAAAAAAAGCAATAAATAGTTACCTATCAACAACTGAATGTAAAAAAAAAAAAAAAAAAAAAAAAAAAAAAAGCAAAATAAATGAACACACAGAAGAGAAGCAGGCTTGCATAGAGAACATGTTGACAGTTGCCAGGTGGGAGGATGTGAAAAAATGATGGGATTAAGATGTATAAAGTAGTAGTTATAGAATTGTCATGGAGGTGTAACATACAGCATAGGGAATGTAATCAGTAATAGTCTAATAACTATGTATGGTGTCAGATGGGTGCAAGATTTATTGGGATGGTCATTTAGTAAGTTATATAATGTCTAATCACTGGGGTGGACACCTGTAACTAATATAACAATGCATGTCAAATATAATTGAAAAAAAAATTTAAATGATTTTTAAAAAAAGAGCACATGGGAAGTAATAAACTTAAGACACTGCTAGTTCTAAGAATTTAAAAGTACTTCTACCGATTTCCTGTGATGACAGGCAGCATGTCAGTCGAAGCGTTGGAAGTGGCCTGTGTAACTTTGAAGGTCACGTTCCTCAAGTCCATGATTCCAAGGCTCATGTCCTCCAGCATGGCCAGCTCCTCACCTGAATGCAAAGGAGGGAAGGAGGGCTGTCAGATGGAGGGGACCTGCACTCTTCCAGGACTCAGCCCGGTCACAGGGTGACAGGGTGAGGCACAAATGGAAGATGACAGAATAAGATATTGTGACGAGTGTGAATGTGAGTGTGAGTGAGAGTGTGGGCAGGGCCATTCCCAGCCTCTTCACCAGGCAATTTGCTTTTTCTCCCCAAGTAGATACTGCTATGAAACCAACAAATACTCTTTAAATTATTCATTTTTATCTTCTCTGAAGAAATAAGTAAAAATGGAGGTAAGGAGAAAAGAGCCTTTTTAGAGGGCAATTGGGAAATATCTATGGAACTTAAAATATTCCTACTCTTCAAAAAAAATACTTTTTATTTTTTATTTTTAGAGAAAGAGGAAGGGAGAGAGAAAGAAAAAGAGAAAAACATCAATGTGAGAGTGAAACATCCACTGCTTCCTGTACACCCTCTACCGGGTCTCAAGCCTGCAACCCGCCACTTGGTACAGAGGATGACACCCAACGGACTGAGCCTCGTGAGCAGCCAGTTCCTCTGACACAGACACTTCCCTTCTACTGCAGAAACGGGCCCACAAGTGCACAGACGTACGTGCAAAGATACATACCAACACTGTTTCCACAGGAGGGGTTCAGAAATGGCCTCAACATCCTACAGGAAGTTGGTGCTTAAATAATCATCATCCATCCTCAACTAGAGAGATCTCCCAGATGTTAACGACCACCATACAAGCTGGGGTTGGGGTCACTAAATAGGACTCTCATCTGGCTCTGTGCTTAGAGTTTGGTGAGGCTGCATTTATGTGAATCAGCCTGTGTGACATGTGAATCAGAAAAATGTGCAGCAAGAAAGCACGGGATCACCTGTGTTCACACTCCCACGGGCCCCTGGTCCCACCGCAGGTCAGTCTCACCGTAGGTGCTCAGCAGGCTCTCGAACTGGGCGAGCAGCCCGATGGTGTAGAGCTGCCGCAGGAAGCCGTCGTCGTGCAGGCAGTTCCTCAGCTTGATGATGAAGCCGCAGATGAGAGCCGTCAGCTGTGGGACAGACACTGCTCACCACCTCACCGCCGGCAGCGAGCGCCCTGGCCCGAGCGCCTCTGCTCCTCGCTCTAACCAAGCGCAGCAGCGCCCTCTGCCTGGGGGTCCGGGGCCCCAGGAAGGCAGGCCCCGCGGCAGGCTCACTGCTCTGCTGCTCCCAAAGGCAAGTTTGGTTTTGGCTCAGCCTCTGACCTGATCTGCCAGCAGTTACTCCTGGGCTAGAACCTCCTGGAAGACGAGAACTCATTCCCTACAGTGAAGGGGCCTATTTACTCCCAGATCCAGGCCAGCTCTGGCGGAACGGAGGTGACCACAACAAGGAGCAGCAGCGAGAAAGGACTCGGCCGCTCTGCACGTCTCCTCCGAGGGAGACTCCACGGGAGAAACGGGCCTGCAGGATGGGTGAGGACAGGCAGAACCACCCATCTCTGCAGACGCTTCCCTTTGCTAACTGATGACTGACACTGACGACAGCTGTGACTTTCACTTAGCTCTTCCTTCTATGAGGACAACAGAAATCGCTGGAACAGTGGTGCGCAGGCTGCAGAGCTGAGCGCCTGCTGTTTTGTAAACAGGAAAACAGATTGCCCTGACAGCCAACAGCTGTCTCCCCTGGTGAAACCCTTAGTGGGGAAAAGGCGGTAAAGAGGCCTGAGCCTCTGGCAAGCCGCCACATCCTGGCTCGGGGCAGGAGGAGCAGGTGTGTGCATTCCCTCGGGCCCCTTCTTCAGGGAGAAGCTAGTCTGGAATCAGACCCTCTCCTCCATGCAGAGAGCTGGATGGGTTCCTGTGTCCTCCATGTTACGTAAATGTAAAAGTGACAGGCAGGGACCCTCGGCCATCCGTGGCTGCTCCACGGCAGAGGGAAGGCTCCGGGCCTGCGTCTGCTTACGGTCTGGCAGAAGACGGCGTCGCGGCGGTGCTGCAGGCTCAGGTAGGCGGCGATGGTGGGCGCGCTGTCCTGCATGAGCAGGAAGACCATGGCCTTCTTGGCTTTGTCGCTCATCATGGCCACACAGTCTGTGAGTGTGGTCAGCAGCGGGTAAAGCGCCTCACTCCACTCACCTGTCACAGGGAGACAGCGTTTGAGAAGGAAGACCGGAGAATGAAGCTCTGGGAGTCTAGCAGGGTGCCTGTCCCTAACCCGTACTGCCCTCCCCACTCCACTCCCGCCCCTTCGGCACCTAACTCCGCCTGGCCCACGCTCTGCCCCAATCGGTGCCAAGTTCTGCCTGGATCTGCCTGTCGCTAACCTCCCAGCCTGAAGCTTTCCAGTGAGCTCAAAGGCCAGCCCTCCTCTGGGACCCTGGCACATGCCTGGTCTCCCAAACCCACGGGGGCTCAACAAATACCCAGGACTATTCTTTTTGAGGAAAACAGCCGGAGAAGACCCTGCAAGTCATGACTAAGGAAGAAAATTATTCTGTCTGTAGAGGCCAAGCCCCTCTGGTCCTCGGCCCAAGGGCACCCAGGACAGAGACCTGTTACCTGCTTCTTGCCTCAGGCCCTGAGGACAAGGACACCATCCTGGTCCAGCCTCGGCAGCTGTGCTAGCTGCTCCCTTCCCACATCCGAGGAAAGATGGTCCCACTCAGCTTCCCGTGTTCTCGGCTCAGACATCCCTCCCTTCTGCGCTCTCCCTTCCCTACCCCAGCCTTCCTGCCTGGATCCATCTATTTCTAGTTTAGAGGTTTTTAGGACTCTAAGGAAGCTTTGACCCTGAACCAAAACAACTTTTTAAAAATAGAACCCCAGGGGAGAAAACAAAAATGGAAGGAATTTGGGGCTTTGGCTCTTTCTCTTTCCTATTTAGAGGGCATTTAAAAGGGCAAAGATGCCCTCATCAGTTCCATTTTTAATGGATCGCCAAACCCAGAAACAGGCACCTGATACCAGCACTGGGCGTGCCCACCACACACGCAGCCGCGGCAGTGGGACAAGCTGGGCAGCATGCCTCCCGGCTGGGGTGTCAGCCGCAGAATGCCCACAGGTGCCCCGCCTCCGGGAAGGCCCGGGCACGTGAGCAGTGAGTGCATCTGCCTGGGGTGAGCTCCGTCTCAGATCAACAACAAGAAGGCCTGGCCCTGGCTCTGCTCTCCAGAGTCTGTGATCAGCACTTTGCTGAAAAAGAAATTAGGAAGTGCCTAAAACCTGCAAAAAGACCTTCCTACGCTCAGTGCTCGGTGAACACGGGTTTCTGAAGATGTAGCTATTCAAATCTTGGCCATGACCTCACTGTATGTGTAGGCCCACTGTAATGGAAAAAGCTGGCTTAAATTTAGAAAGTCTACGCAGAACGGTCTTAGCCAATAAATCATGGTGACAAAGAACACTTGACCAACGAGTGGAAAACGTGTCCTGGGCCGGCTGTCACCGAGCCAGGGATCCTTGACCGCTCAGCCGAGTGGGTCCTTCCTGGTACTAAATATCACCGAGTCTCTTCCTCTAAAACTCTCACAGTCCACGTTTTGTTTCTTTGAATTCTGTTAAATGCATGTCAATTATTCCGCAATGATTAAAAAAAGCTGATCGCAACAAGTTTTAGTGTCCAAATAGTTTGGAAAAAGGTGGTGTTATGAAGACTATTCAGGAAGAAATAAGTCCTTTTAGAGCATATGCTACCAATTTTACTTTCTTTTCACATAATATGCATATACATATGCAATTAATATGCAAATTATGGCCATTTTAACCTGAAAAATGCTCAAAATATATCAGTGGTCCTATCTGATTAAGCAAGCCCACTTCATGCAGCCGTTTTTTTTACTTTGCCTACTTCTCATTAAAAAAAAAAAAAAAAAAAATCCGAAGAATAACTCAGCTTTGCTACCTTATTAAAATCCACTGACAAAATTGGAGGCTAAAAGCATGGTTAGCAGACATGCGGAGCGTGTGCAGGAGAGGGTGCAGATTGGGCCTGAGCCCCTGCTGCTGTGCATGGCCTGCTGAGCGCTTCACCTACAACCACCTCCTCACCCACCCCACCGCCGGGTGATGGACTGGGGAGGAAACGGGCTCAGCAGGTTGAGGGAGACATACGGGAGCGCCTGCCACCTGCACACGCGTCTGACAACTCCTCATGGTTTCTATGACATCAAGAGCTTCCGAGTAGGGGTTTGGTGTCACAACCACGAATGTCACAACCTTTGGGACTACTTATTACCCCACACTCCCTCAGGTGACGCTCCTAAGTCCCGGCGAAATCAGAGCAGGTCTCCTTTACTGATGTGCACCTCGCTCTGAGGCAGGTGGCCCGCTGCAGGAAGCCCAACGCCCCTCGGCAGTAATCCTCTGACACAGGGTGGGAAAGAGGAAAAATGCACGTGGTGGCCGGCTGCAGGCCAGTCCCCAGCCTGACAGGTCCCTCATCGAGCCTCAGAAAAGCTGCTACAGCCTCACAAGGAGAAACTCCCAAACAGCAATGTTGTAACTCTGGGAGCACATACTGCAAATGCCAGCTGAGTCTTAGAGAGCCGTCTGCGTGCGACCCTGGGGCGGAACCACGTACCTGGGCTGGATTCTTCAGGAGGGGGGCTGCAATCTGCACAGAAACGGAGGGCAACACGGATGAATAAGAGCAGCACACAGTTCAAGCACCAAACTCAACGCTTGCAGCGACTGCTTCCACAGCTTGCCGTGATGTGGCTACCAGGACAGCAAAGAGGGGGGCGGCCTGCCTCTTCCCCAATAAGTCACATGGACGTGCTCCGGCCACTCCACGGCAGCCGAGCCCCTCGGGGGTCAACACAGCCCGACTCACAGGCATAAACATTCATGTTGCTAATACGCCAACATAGAATGCTTTTGGGGGTGAGCACGCTTACGTGTTACAATGTGATGGCGTGCCCAGGTCCGTCACATTGCATGTGATGGAGCCCCTATTGGCTCAGGCATCTGGAAGCAAACTTGAAATGAGAGAGACTGACCAGCCAGCCACCAGAGGTCCCACCGCAGAGCACTGCCCGCTGATGGGCGGCACGGGCTGCAGACTGCCTGCTGAGACCAAAGGCAGGACCCGGGAGGAAGGCAGGACACCGGGGCCCTCTATGTCACTCTTTAACATGCAAGCCAAGTACACAACTTCATGATTAGGGGGAAGTCTAGAATTAGAATAGCCCTCCAGGTCCCTCAAAAAGTAACGATTTTGGAGTTTCTTGCTAACTGGGTGTGCCACCTAACAGAAAACTAGAAATCATTTGGAATAAAAGTTTATTTTAGTTTGCTGCCTAAACTTTTTAATTCAAAGAACACCTCCAGGATATAGAAATAGATCATTTCAGATCCCCAAGAATGGCTGGGACCGGCTACGGGGAGATTCAGAACCTGTGAAACCGTCCAAAAGCCGTGACATGGATCCTCCCGCTCCTGCCATCTTTGCTGATGATTTCTCTCTGGGCAAAGGGGACAGAAATAGAGCAGAGCCACCGGCCTCTGGGAGCCGGCTGAGGGATGCCTGCCCGGTGCGGAGGTGAGCACAGCGACTCTTCACCTCAGCCTGACCGATGAGCAGGGCCAGGCCTGGAGGAAATCACAGGTCTCTGCCTTCCCAGGCCTCGGGGCGGAACAGGAGGCATGGGAGCCTGTTGGTGACCCGTGCTGATCGCAGACAGCTGGCTGGGCCACTCCCGAGAAGGCGGGGGTTAAACCGGCTGGCGAAGGCTCTTCAAAGGGGGGAGGGAGTGGTCCCCTGGGTCACGGAGTCCCTGAGATTTTATGACCACTACGGACTTTCTCTCATTTTAACACATAATTTCAGGCACACAAACCTGAATACAACCCACAGACCTCCGCTTATGGACAACCTGGTCCTGGTTTGAATGACTTTTGGGGGAATGAGGAAAGCAAGAGAGTGTTTGTGTAGAAGGTAATGGAAGTCACAAATCCTGGCATGGGAGTTCGGGGGTCACTTGTAGGGAAAACGGGGAGAAGAGAGAGGCTTATGGAGCCTGCGGTGGGTCCGAGGAGTCCCCTCCCTTCCCCCCGCCCACCAGGCCAGGCTCTGCTCAGCTCTGCAGGAGGGGGAGCTAAGAGGCAGGTAGCTCCTCGGTAAAAGATGGGAAAGGAGGACCCGGGATGGGCAGAGAATTGGAACAAAAGTTACGATGCCTTTCCAAGAGCAGGGAGTTTGTAGGCAGTAAGTATGCAGGTGTGACTCAGGCCACACACCTGCCTCAGGAGGCACGCCAGGGCCCCGCTTTGCCCCGGGGACATGAGGGGAGTAAAACACGGGCCCTGAGGTCTGTTTCTCTCTGATCCCCCTGCTCCTGCTGAGGTCCGAGGCGCGTCCTGGCGCCGCGCTGGGTGTCTGGGCTGAGGGTCACGGGCAGTTCCCTCCGAGGCGATGTCCACGCACCCTGTGAGCACTGGCGGCAGCTAGCCTCCCTCATTGCGTGTTTCACATTCCCATCGCACACCGCTCATTCGTGTGGCACACACAGTTACAAGTCAAGTCCTAAACATACTCATTTAAATCACTTTAAAGTTGCATTTAAATTTGCCTACATTTGAACAAACACAGGTTGTATCTAGAAAAAAATTATGACATTTAAGTTATGAGTATATAACAGTCAATCTTATTAAATAAACTATCTCCTGCATTTTAAAAATCCAATAAATTACTTTTTGTATCTGCAGAAAAAATTCAAAGCACAAACAAGACAATATTAGAGAAATGAGCGATGAGTTTTCAGTCATATTTTAAAGAAACACAACTTACATTAAAAAATGAGAACACAGAGACAAAAAGTTCCATGAACTGAACTGTGAACCTCACAAATGGAAGCGTGGAGGACGTGAGTGCCGTTCAAACAGGCCCCAGCGGGCAGACTGCAGGCGGACGCAGGCGGGAGAGCGCCGTCCAGCGCAGGGGCTCCCCGGGAGCCTCTGAGGAGCTGCCCAATTCAGAATGAAGGGGCCTGGCTGTGGGAAGCCTCCCCCGGCACAGCGGGGCCTCCCTTCCTGTGGCTCACACCCCAAGGGGAGCCAAGAGGAACAGAGGCCCGGTCGCAGCCTGGCCCTTTCCTATGAGAGCGGAGCCCCGAGCTGCGGGGACAAGAAGCCGATCGCGTCAGGCTCGGGGCGGGGCCGAGCGTCTGGCTATGCCCTGTTCCCACAGACAGAGACGCTTCCTGAGGTGCACTGCTCCCTGCCGGCCCTTCTACCCTCAGAGCCCACCCTGGTGGTAAGAACGGGAACCTAACTCAGCTCAGAGGCACCAGACCGAGTTACCACACGTCCCAAGGCACCGTCTCTGCTGGGTGAGCGCCCACTACTGACAACTGGCCTTCTGACAAGTCCGCTGGGCCGCCAACAGCTCTCCTCCGCGCGTCCCTCACCAGTCACCTTCCCTGGCGCTCCCAGCTCCTGGCACAATACTATAAACAGCCTCGTCAGAAACGCATGTGCGTTTTGGCCTCCTCCAGCTTCTCAGATCGGTTCACAAACCAGAGGAGTCCAGGAACCCGACCCTTACTGCTGTGGCAGCGTGACCCAAGAGGCCCTCAGAGCCCCCTGTAGCCAGACCTGCAGATGCACACGCAGGCTCCGTGGGCATGAAGCCCACGGCACCTCTGCCCTCACTGCCCGCCGCTCCATGCACGGCGACACCCCCTCCGCCGACAGCCCTCCCTGCAGTCTGCACGGGGAAGAGGACACGGAGTCAAGACACAGACAGACGCGGCATGAGGTGGAGGAAGCGAGATGGGAAGCATGATGCATACGCACGTGTGGTCAGGTGAGGATGGCATGCAGCAGCGGGCATGGAGGCGGGCATGGAGGCGGGGCGTGGTGAGGAGGGGGCGTCACAGAAGGGGTCCTCCGGTCGGATCCAGTAGGCGTGGCTGCTCCGGTTACCTTTCTTGCTGGTGCCGCTGCCCGAGCAGGGGAAGCCGTCCTCGCAGCCCTCACCGAGCAGGCGCTCCTTCTGCAGCAGCTTGTCCACCCGCTGGATGATGCACTCCAGGCTCTTGTCCACGTTCAGCCACACTTTCTCCTTCCAAAAGCAAAGGAGCCCGTTTTGGTCAGCTCTCCAACAGGAAAGGCAGAGCAGGCCACAAACCAAACCAGCCCCAACGACCCCACCCACATCACGCTCGCTAAAACACAGGTTCAGAAATGCCAATAGGATTCGTAATTTCCCAAACACAATGTAAGTTGTATTTGCTTTCCGAAGGATGGATCAATGTCCCAGGTCGCTAGTTTTAAAATTTGGAGACGTTTGCTAGGAACTGTCATGGAAGCCAGGCAGGGCTTCCCAGCACCTTCCAGCGCTAACACAGGGCGGCAGGCCGAGCCGGTGTCACCCGTCCTCGCTCCCCCACGACCTCCTGCGTCACACAGAGGGTACCGCGGTCTCTTGGGTGGAGGAGAATGGAAGCAGTTGACCCCTTCAGAGGGGGGTGGTGGGAGGAGGTGAGGGGCGCCCGATCAGCTCAGGGCTGCAGCAGCGCCTGCCCAGTAACTCAGTAACTCAACCTCTGCTTCTCAACAGCCAGACACACGACGAAACATGCTATGGCTCCGCTCTCAGGCACAACTCTGAGGACAACGCTCTGTGGTGTCAGGGCGAGCGGGTGAGGGTGGCGAGGGAGAGGCTCGAGGAGAAAGCCGGGCCTGAGGAGGGCAGCCCTCGGCAGCCCGCCCCTCACATGGCACAGCGGTGAGATCCTGCCTCCCTCCCGGCAGCAGGTGGCCCCGCAGCCAGCTGGAAGGGTCTCGGAGCTTATCTGCGAAGGCCCTCCTGAGGGAGAGCCAGGGGGGAGTTTCCAATTCCAACCCAAGCTCAGCAGCACGATGCGGGCGATGGGCAGCACTCACCCACTCCTCCTCGTGCCAGTCCACCTGCAGAGACGACCGGCTGTTCCTGCCCGTCCACCGGGCCATGAGCGTGTCCTGGTCGTTCCTGAGCATCACCTGCTCCTCCTCAGTCGAGGTGGGGGAGGCCTTGGAGGCGATGTAGTCGGGCCGCGCTGCGTTCAGCCCATGGATGGCGCTGGCCAGCAGCTTGCAGTCGCAGACGGTGACCAGCTGCCGGGTCTACAGGCACACACACCGGGCCCTGAGCTCCAAGCCCGGGACTGCCAGGCCTGGCTTCCCTGACAGCTCGGACCCATCTGAGCCCGGCACTGCTCCCCCACCCCCTCCACAGCCTTCGGGACCACCTCGTGATCCACCTGCAGACCCTTAGTCAGATTCCTCCCAAGGAGACTGGAGGACATGGGAGAACGAGGGGAGAGGGAGGAACCTGACATCGCTCAGGGAAGAGAGCCCCGCCCCAGCCTTCCAGGATGCAGAGCGGTCTGTCCCCCCAATCCCAGGCGCTTTAGTGACGGGAGCCTGTCTCTGCACCCACCTCCGGAGCCAGCTCTGGGCGCTCCGTGTGCGGTGGGCGTTCAGCAGCTCCCTTTCCCATGGCTGAGGGCTCCCAACCTCCGGGGGACCCATGGGGAGGAGGGAATGTGCTCTGCTCAGGAACAGTGCCTCCCCCCACACAGTGCTTACAGCTGGGGCAGTGTGAGCAGAGTCTCTGTGTGCATGCAAGGGACAGAGAGATCAGTCATTTGAAAACTCATCACCCATCAAAAGGATCTGAGGTACCATGTCCCAGTGGTACTCATGTATTTTAAATCAGGATCAAACAGCCATCAATGAAAGGCTGGTTTACTGATGATCTATAAGCCAATAAAATATATTATTCTTGTGTTATGTCTGTATAATAATTCGCTTTCTCTTTTTTTAATTCCAAGTACAACTGAACTGTGGGGAAAATAAGCTGAGTAGGTGGTTACTAAAAAAACATGGACCTGTCAGGCCTTAACAGTGACTGCTCTGGACCTACTGGGAGACGTCTCTGCAGGGAACTGCGGGGCTGTCACAGCCTGGCCTGGCCTTGGCCTGCCCCGTCCAGGCCTGTGATCACAGGCAAATCCCCCGTACCTGGACCTATGGGAACTGGATCTGAAGCCAGACCAACCAGATCACCCCAATGTCACCCCTGTGTGAACGGCTCTGGGCACCCTCTGCCTCAACCAGGGGAGCCCCGCCCACACACCGCATGGCTGTCCTCCTACCTTGTCTGCCAAGATGGCCAGTGTCCTTTCGAGGCCAGTGGCAGACCTGTCCTTGGCCGCCCTGGAGAGCCGCTCTGCGTAGTAGCTCACTTGGGTTTTCAGGGTGTTGATCTGGGCGATGATCTCCTTGGCTCTGACGACGTCCTGTGGGATGTAGACGATGGACTGGCAGCTGGATGACGTACTAGGAGAGGTAAGAACAGGTCGATGAGGCTTTAGCGCCCCCCACCCAGTCTGCAACCAACACAAACAAAGCACTGTCTCTCTGGGACGTGTCCTGAGCTGGGGATGTCACAGGCGGTCCTTTCTGTCTGTATGGCAGAAGCTGGAAATACTGACATACATTAAGCCTCCTATTGTTTGTCTGTATCTGTATTTGGACCATGTGTATGGACCTTGTGCACAAATATTAAACCAGAAATTCCCTCATCTGTCGAATCTTAGCAGGACTTAAGTGGAGACACGGGGTCTGCTGGTGCCCAAAGGGGTCCGTTGTCATAGTGAGGGGAGACTTGCAAGGGTGCTAGACTTTGCCAAAAGGATCCTTGATTTTCCATTTGGCCCATCGGGACTTCAAGCCTGCTGTGCCCACACACAGCTCTCTGCCCTCCCAGGTCTGAGCCCAGCAAACCCTCAGAGACCGGCTTCCTCCCTCCCCTCTCCTCTCCAGGACTTCCCCACATTGAAATGGGAAGGTGGAGAGCGTGCCAAGCCAGAGGCCGCCCTGGACACTGGCTCTTGTCAAACCTGGGAGCTTTGGAAACCTGCTTTTCCTCCCACTCCGCTTCCTCGCCACCACGCAACATGTGTATCTTTGGATCTGAGGTCAAAGCTACAGCCCAGCCATTGCCAGACACAAATAAACACCAGCCTCGGAGAGCCAGCCAGCCAGCCAGTGTCCCGGCGGCGTGGGCCTGCTGTCATGGCGGCCCTTCCAGACGGAGATGGTAAATTGTACGTCTCTCAGCTAAGATCCCAAATCAACCCGATATTATACACAGATTTTTCACACCATGTGTGGAAGCCGAGGAAAGCAGTGGGGGAAAGGATGAGGCGCCAATGCAGAGGGCTCTCCACAGGTGGGCGTCGTGGGCCCTGGGTGTCCCTGCTTCACTGAATGAGGGCCCTGCTGGTTCCCTCAGAGCAGCCCACTGGGCTTGGGGGACGAGAGAGAAGGTGGAGAGCTACACCTCCATCACCTTCTCTGGAGATGGGGGTGGTTTGGCAGGGCTGAGAGCCTCCCCAATGGGCTCATTATCCAAGTCACCATAAAACGGCCCGCCCCTTCCCCGGATGAAGTATGCGGTGAGCATGCAAAAAGAAAAACCCAAAGCACCCAGAGGAAAGCACGCCACAAGCCCACACACCGCCACCAAGACCTGCCGGAAGCCGTGCAGCAGCTGCGTGGTCCGAGGAAACCTCACAGCTCAAGTGCTCACGGCGACCTTCCAACCGCAATCCCCCTTCCCCATGAATAGCCGCCGTGTCAGACAATTCAATCGTGAAAAACAATCTCAGAATAGAATTTAAGAGCCTTTAACCCGCCCAGTCCCCGATATTTAGAGTGCACATGGAATGTGTGCTGTACACAGATACCCATGTGTGTACCTGGGTGTACACTTCCACACACGTGTACCTGCCCTGCGCCCAAGAGAGGCGTCAGGCCCGCTCACCCTAATGGCTGTAAGCTGGGCCTTCTGCACGGGGAGACATGGTAGCTTCAAAGAGCTGCCATTCGGGGTAACCATGAAAGCGTGAGCACGTTGCCCATGCCCGGTCCTCCCTGGGAAAGCCGAGGCCTGAGCCTGGCAGGCTCCTCAGGACTTCCTGTGCCAGACGTCCCGGAGCCCAGCATCTCAGACAGGGCCCAGCCCTAGCCCAGCCTCGCCCGCTCGGGGGGGTAGAGGGGGAATCGATCCCAAAGGCTGGAGGTGCCTCCGGGGCTGCCAACTGAAGAAGTGCCACTACAAAGCCCGTTCTGGGCATGCCCGGGGCCCGGAGCAGCAGGGGAACCCCAGGCAGCAGACATGACGGCTTCTGGCTGCCATCTAACTCTATGGTGGAAAGTCACTTAGTTATCAGTTCTTGGTTAATACTGATACTAATAACACTGTTTTAAAATTATGTCTAAACTATTAAGTATCATGAAAATATAAGCTGGCTTCACTCCCCAAAAGGTGCTGGTGAGGTGAGGTGGAGCCGGAGAGATCTCAGCACCCTCGGTGTGGACAGGGCATCCCGGCTCCGAGCGCGGCCTGGGCTCCCGGGCCCGGAGAAGCAGAGCAGGCCTGCCCTCGGAGGAGCACAGCAACAAAGGCTCCATCTTAAAGACAAAGCAGGCCCTGGGCTGGCTATTCATCGTCCGAGAACATTGCAGTTGGAAGGGAAAGGCCGGGCCTTCGCTGAGCCACAGCGGCAGGCGCTGTGCGCGGCTGAAGCACTCTCGGGGGAGGGGACAGACAGCACAGGCTTCTCTGCATGAGAGCAAGACCCAGACAGACTCTCTCCACAGACAGAAAACTCACCAACTCTCCTCAAAACTGCTAAAGAAAAGAACCAAAATAAATATTAGCATGTGTTAGCAAACACCAGATGCAAAACAAAAATTTATAAGCCCGGTTTTGTCAAAACACTTGAATTTGATGGTCGAAGGACAACCAACGCATGAGCCCGGCGCTCATCCTGACAGCCTGCCGGCACCTCACGCCCCAGACACATCCCCGTGGGCACCGTGCGGCTGCACGTGAGGAAGTTTCAGTGAGGAAAACCAGTCTATGACATTAGCAGGACATTACATAGAAAGTCACAGTATATATTTGAAAATACCACCAAGGCACATAGGGGCTGATATGGTCTGAAGTTAACACGCGTGTAATCAGGCATGAGCACGCCGCCCTGCCTGGGACAAGGACAGCTGGGAACACCCCTCTTGACGGGCTTTTCCCTCCAGGGCCCCGTGCCACCCTCAAATCACACACTCACACTCCACACTCCCCATGCAATGGTGTGACACACACGGATCTCTGCTGGCTGTGCAGCTGTCACATGTCCAGAGACACACGAGGCAGTGGGCCCGCAGCGGGCTGGCCATCTGGCTTGTCTGAGCAGGAAGGCCTTGGTGGGGATGTGTCGAGGTGGACAGGCTGTCTGGAGCCTCCCCCTCCCAAGGCCGGAGCTCCCCTTCCACACCAGGCCCTCCCTGCTCCTCCTTCTCCTGCCTCCAGGGTAGCCTGAGCACCCACCTGCAGGGACACGCCTCACAGTACTCCCTCCCTCCACTCACCTGTCCCCTCAGCCTCAGCGCCACAGCCGGGACACTCCTAGCCGCATCCCTGCACCTGACCTTTCACCAATCCCTGTTCCAGGCCAAGGTCCGTTTTCTCCAGCTGCGTCCTGACTCCCGGCCACGGCAGCACAGAGCCAGGCCAGGGCCTTGGGCTCCGGCACCTGCTAACACTCTCCATCTGACCCTGGGAGCGGATTCCCTTGCCATTCCCTGGGCCTTCTCTCCATCTTCCCACAGACCAGCAGTCGGCAAACTACAGATCTCGAGCCACATGCGGCTCTTTGGCCCCTTGAGTTTTTAGCAAAGGCCAGCTTAGAAGTCCCCTAATTAAGCTAATAACAATGTACTTACCTATATAGTTTAAGTTTAAAAATTTGGCTCTCAGAAGAAATGTCAATTGTTGCACTGTTGACAGTTGGCTCTGTTGATTGATGAGTTTGCCGACCGCTGCTTTAGACTGCCCATTCCCAGGGGGTGTGGCCTTCCACTCTGCATTCTGCAGATGCTGCTCCACCCAACCTCAGCCGCTCCTCCCGCCTCAAAACTGCCTGCAGCCTCTGCTTCTCCACGTCCCTGGCTCCCTGCCTGCTCCTGCCTCTTCCACCTTCTCCAGAACCTGCTCGATCCATGTCCTCCTCTGCCTGCCTCACTCACTCCCATCTTTCCTTTCAGCCTCAACACATTCACGTCACAATCGTCCTCCCCAAGCCTGAGTCTTTCATTCTCCATTTCAGATCCCAGGATCTCACGGTGTCCTCGACACTCACCACCTCCACTTCCTACACTCCCATCCCTTACCTGATTTAAATCCTGACATTCTGGAGATCACCTCCCCCGTGCCCCACACACTAGCTCGGATTCACAGGTCCCTCTCCGCCACCCCTGCTGCCCGCCCACAGCACCCTGTGTGCTTGCTCCATGCACACACTGCTCACTCCAGACCCAGAGCCCCTCAGGGCCAGGCCACTCTGCCAGCCCCACACCCTGCTCACCAGCCACAGCCCCACTGAGGCCCCTCTCCTCTCGCTCCTCTCCCCAAAGCACCGCTCTGAGTACAAGGGAATCTGCTCTGCGCCGCCTGCCCCACCTGCTGCCTGGCAGCTTCCTGCTCAGCACGGCAGGTCCTTTTTGGAACGGGGAACGTTTCCCCACAGTGCCCCTCAGGAAGGATCAGTCTCTCCCAGGCTCACACTCTAGGACGCTCACTGACTGGCCAGGGACTCTCAGGACAGCAGCGCCAGCAGCCCTCTGAGGGCAGCTGCCGCCAAGAGCACCGCCTTCAGGTGATGTCAGTGTGCAGGGGAGGACTACTGACCAGTGGCCCCGCCCGCCCGCTCAGTGGCACACACAGAGCAGCGCAGGGTGTGTGAGGCAGCCTCTCACCTCGCAAAAGCAGGCTAAGGGCTGGATGCTTTGTGGTCATATTCTGATTTTTTTAACCGAGGAAGCATCAGACAGCTAAACAAGGACCATGAATACCCCCAAGAACTTACTGTTTCTTGGTCTCTTCAAATTTGTGCAGCTTTTTGCGGAGGCCTCCTGACTTAAAACCTTGGCAGTGAGCGGCTGGCGCCCCGATGGTGACAATGTCGTAGCTCTGATCTGAGTGACAGAAAGCTCCTTCGTTACTCTGGGCTTGGGCCTGTGGAGGAGCCAGCTGCAGGGATGTGCACACCGATCTGGGCCTGACCCTCCCCCAGGCCCACGCAGACCACACAGCCTGGGCTGTCCAAGGGCCCCTAACCTCCCAGGGTGAAGCCACACGGGGCTGGAGGCAACACGCAGCCTGCATCCTACTTGGGGAGGATGACTGAGGGGCAGCTTCCTGCCACAGAAACGCAAAGGAAGCTGGACGGGGGAGAACGAGAAGAAGGGGTTTGTGCTCGGAATGAAGATCTTACAAAGGTCCTGAGATGTGTCTCTCATCGAGCTGCCCAGCAGGACACGCAGGCATGGCTGGTGCAGATGTGGGGCAGCGCAGGGCCCACGTGCACAGGGGGCAGAGTGACGGGGGTTCCACAAGAGGGGCCGCAGTTACCTGATCCTCCATCGTCCTGAACCCTCATCCTCTGTATGTGCAAGTTTGTGGGAACAAATTCCAACTTTTTATCTGCTTTCAAACTGCTCGCTTTAAACGAGGGACCTAAGAAACAGAATATTCAGAAAACAAAGGGCATCTACATGTATCCCGCACCCACGAGCGGCAAGTAGGAAGGGGTGCTGTGGGGGTGCTGCTCAGAAAGCAGGCTGGGGTGGTCGCAGCCCTGGCCATTCCGCGTTGCCTATGAGCGCGTTTCATTCCCAGACACTGAGGGCGGGCGGCACGCCGGCGGCCAACTGGCTCTGGTGCTTCAGTGGGGAGTGGAGGCGGGAGCAGCCTCAGGAGGTGCCTGCCCACCCATGACTTGGCTCTCAGAGAGGCTGACACAGGAGGAGGCTCTGTGCTGCAGGCTGCCAGCAGCACTATAAACAGCAAGGCCCACGCCGGGACTGCCTGCTCCAGCTCCGGAGGCTGCCGTCATCCAAGACCTCAGGGACTGGCTCAACCAGAGCAGCACTTCTCAGTTCTGAAAGTGATGACAAGGTCTGCTCACACCGGGCTGTGGGGATGGTCAGGCGCTGGGCAGCACCAGTTCTGGCCGCCAGAAGGCAAACTCAGACAGGGCCCCCTGCACACACTGGGTGGTCGATGTTGTGTGACCAACATCTGCGATCTGATTTCCACAGTCAAAATCTGTAACTAATATAGGAACTCCATGTCAGAAGAGAAAGGAATCACGCTGGCAATCAGAGGGTAGAAGAAATAAAGGCGAAGAAAGGAAGGTGTATTTTGCCAGCACACGAAATACAGGCAGGCACTGTCTGCTCTGCCAGAGGCTGCTCACTGGGCACGTACGGTGGCCCCGGCCCCAGCAGCGGGAGCAGCTAGGATCGCAGAATCTGCTGTCAACAAGACTGGGCGTTCAGACACTGAGAGTGACACTGAGAGGCTCCGCGCCACAAAACCCGGGCTGCGCGGTGTCGGACTTCCCAGGTAATTGGCATCCAGCCTGGTAGGTCCCTACGTTCCTCCAGACAAACGCTGCCTTTTGTCTTAGAGATACACTGGGATCTTTCTTCAGATTCAAAGCAAATCAGGGCACCAGCATCTTATCATCACCTCTGTGTTCACTTCTCCTCAGCCAAGTTCACGGGCACGCTCCCACGTTATGTGTCAAAAGTTCGTTAAGGGCTTACGGTTTTCTTTCCACCCTGAAAATTCATTATGAAGAGCAGGAGGGAAGAATCTAAAGATAGGGAATAAAGTAATGAAAAGCACCCTCTACCCCCAAATCATCCTGTTTGGAATAAAACGGGAGAAAGTTAAGAATAGTCTTCTGACCTTCCCTGAGAGTGTTCTGGAAATCAAATGGCATCTTTCAAGAAAAGGTGAGGTGTCTGCACTTCATTCTCCCTTTGGAACCTCAAAGCAGTGAATTCACTCAATGTATATGCTCAGTGAGGTGCCAGTGTTAGACAGGGACCTGGAGAAACTCTTGTGGAAGGCACAGGCCCTCCATCCTCCGGGCATCTCACTGGCATCAGACCCTCTGGTCTCTGAAATCTCACTGCACGGTGGTTGTTTTAGCACATAACACCTTGGAAGGAATTTTCAATGTAAATTCACAGACTTGCCTTCTTAATTAGGATCTGAAAAATCTAAATTTTAGAGAACTCACACCTCCATGAGAATCTATTTTTAAAAATCCATTTGAGTGTCTGCCAGTGTGACTATCGGGCGCTCCTGGGGTGCAGATTCCCGCGGGAACAGGAGAGCGTGTGTGTCATGGCGGAGAGGCCCGGTGCCCACCTTTGTACTGATGCAGGTCAGTCAGGTTCTCCTGGTACGTGAGGATGATGGTCTGGTACTGAGTGACGATCTGGCGCCGGAGGCTCTCCCAGCAGGGAGACAGCTCCCCCAGCTCCTCCAGTTCACACACTCTGCAAGCGAGACACAGGCGTCAGGCCCAGGCTGCACCGCCCGGAACATGGTGCCCACAGAAGCATCAGCTGCCAGGGAGGGCTCGCACCGAATCAGGCCGAGCAGAGGGGCAGAGGGGCTCCCCAGGAGGAAGGGCTGCACGAGGCGCAGACCCCCGACCACAGGGCAAGTGCACAGAGAAGCTTTTTATAGAAACTTAGCCAAATGTTCGAGGCAAACCAAGTGGAGGAGCGGAGAAGAGAGCGGCTGCCCGGGCCCGACACCCTGGCTCCTGCAGAAACCACAGGGCGAAGGCTCAAGCTGCGGCCACTGGGCCTGGGCAGAGCAGTGGCCTGTGACCCTCCCAAACACAAGAGCTGGAGACCTGTAAGTAACTGCTATGATTTGTTGTCTCCAGAAAAGTAACAAAACACAAGATTAATTAAAAAAAAAAAAAAAAGAAGAAGAAGAACAACAACAACAACAACAACAACGAAGAAGAAGAAGAACAACAACAACAACAACAACAACAACAACAACCACCACCACCACTTTAGGAACCTGGGGAGCAGGAAAGTATAAAAAGACTAAAATCCTCATTTTATAGGAAATCAATAGCTAATCCTGAACCTAATTAAAAGTACTCTACCCATATATTTAGAAGACAGCAGTTAACACTAACATGGATAACCCTGAGACTTATGTTCTTAACAGCCTTGGGGCAGTATTTAGCTTTTTATACTATGCACATTTTCCTTTGAAGGGAAAAAAAAACACCCTAATTTATAGAAGTTTTTAGGAATCTACTAAATTGAAATTAGCCTAAACTGGTTTAGCTCAGTGGATAGAGCGTCAGTCTGCAGACTGAAAGGTCCCGGGTTCAATTCCAGTCAGAGGCATGTACCTTGGTTGCGGGCACATCTCCAGTAGGGGGTGTGCAAGAGGCAACTGATCGATGATTCTCTCATCGATGTTTCTATTCTCTATCCCTCTCTCTTCCTCTCTGTAAAATATCAATAAAATATATTTTAAAAATTAAAAAAATTGTCTGATATTAAAAAAACAACACTGTACTACTTTACTGTTATACTAGAGGCCTGGTGCACAAAATTTGTGCATGGTGGGGGTCTCCTTAGCCCAGCCTGCACCCTCTCCAATCTGGGACCCCTGGGGGGATGTCCGACTGCCAGATTAGGCCTAATTAGGCCTAAACTGTCAGTTGGACATCCCCCTCACAGTCCTGGACTGCTGGATCCTAATCGCTCACTTGCCTGCCTGCCTGGTCGCCCCTAACTGTCCCCACCCTGCTGGCCTGATCTCCCCTCATTGCCTCTGTGTGCCAGCCTGATCACTCCTAGCTGCCCCCCATCCCCTGCCAGCCTGGTCACCCCTTACTGTACCCCCTGCTGGCCTGGTCACCCATAACTGCCCCCTCCCCCCTGTAGGCCTAATCACCCTTCATGCGCCACCTCCCCACCCCCACCGGCCTGGTTGTCCCACACAGCCTATGATTCAGTCATTTGGTTGTCCCTCACTAGCCCCCCTGCCATAGGCAGCCATCTTCTGAGAGTGTGAGGGTCAATTTGCATATTGCCTCTTTATTATATAGGGTTAGCAAAAATAATGTACCCTGGTTGGTGTGGCTCAGTTGGTTAAAGCATCGACCTGTACACTAAAAGGTTGTGAGTTTGATTCCCGGTCAGGGTACATACCCAGATTGCAGGTTCGATCCCTGGTTGGGCATGTACAGGAGGCCGCTGATCTGTTTCTCTCTCCCTTCCTCTGGCTGCCAAATCAACTACAACGTATCCTTGGGTGAGGACTTATTTATTTATTTTTTAAATATATTTTATTGATTTTTCACAGAGAGGAAGAGAGAGAGAGAGTTAGAAACGTCGATGAGAGAGAATCATCGACCAGCTGCCTCTTGCACACCACCTACTGGGGATATGCCCACAACCAAGGTACATGCCCTTGACCGGAATCGAACCCGGGACCCTTCAGTCCCCAAGCCGACGCTCTATCCATTGAGCCAAACCGGTGCCGGCCTTGGGTGAGGATTTAAAAAGTCAACGTAAAAGAACACCCGGCACAGGCCAGGCTGGGGGGCTTGCCGGGGAGCAGTATCCTCACTCCGAGGCCCCCTGGCTCCAGCCTCAGCTCGCTCACACGCACCCTGTGGTCCCTCTGGACGTCTCTGCTGAGCTTCATGTGGCTCCTCCTTATGCTCCTGGTGTCAGTTTAATGTCACAGAGGCCTGCCCAGACCACCCTCCCTTTCAGGCCCCCTTTCGCTTTCTGCGGACACATCGGGCTCCGTGTGTGGCCCCCAGTTCTGTTAATGACTGTCCCCCGGGGTGTCTCGCACAGCACCTGCCATGTGACTGGAGTGGAAAACAGCACAACCCTCGAAAGCAAAGTGCTTATGTGAACATGCTCCGAGCACAGCGTGTGAGAGCGCACACCGAGCACCAATGGGGAAATGGCGCCCTGACTAGGAATGAGAAGGGAAGGTGCGTGGCAGCTCTGTGTAAAGACACAATAAGAGAAAGCTGAAAGGAAAACGTAAACCTTAAAATGCATATAAAATATGTATGAATAGAGAGAAAGCGGCTCTGTGTTTCTTGCCATTTTTCTTTTAAGTTTGATTTTTTCAAGATGAAAATTTGAAATGAAACATTTGTGTTAAAAAGGTAGGGTTGTGGCTGCAATGTTTTCTTTCATGTTTGTTACACTGTGTCTGTAATTAACACCGCGTTATGATAAGGAGCAGACATGACAGTGAAGGGCGAACGCGAGACACAACCTGCAGTGCCGAGCCCCCCCCCCCTCCCTGCCCCCGGCCTCTCCCTGCCCCCCCCCACCTCTCCCTGCCCCCCCCCCCGCCTCTCCCTGCCCCCGGCCTCTCCCTGCCCCCCACCTCTCCCTGCCCCCCCCCGCCTCTCCCTGCCCCTCCCCCCCGCCTCTCCCTGCCCCTGGCCTCTCCCTGCCCCTGCCTCTCCCTGCCCCCCCCCGCCTCTCCCTGCCCCTCCCCCCCGCCTCTCCCTGCCCCTGGCCTCTCCCTGCCCCCTGCCTCTCCCTGCCCCCCCCCCGCCTCTCCCTGCCCCCCCCACCTCTCCCTGCCCCCCCCCGCCTCTCCCTGCCCCTCCCCCCCGCCTCTCCCTGCCCCTGGCCTCTCCCTGCCCCCTGCCTCTCCCTGCCCGCCCCCCCCCCCGCCTCTCCCTGCCCCCCCGCCTCTCCCTGCCCCCGCCTCGCCCTGCCCCCGGCCTCTCCCTGCCCCCCGGCCCCTCCCTGCCATGGCACCAGTGGCGCGTGCCCTGAGCTGGAAGGACGCCCCAATGGGTCCTGCTCACTTTCCAGAGCCCGTATCACGGCGGGCTGCCCACGAAAACTGCTAACCCGGGCGGCCACAACCAAAGAATGACCAGCTACTTTAACTTTCTGAGGCCAAGAGCGGGGGGAGGAGAGGGAGCGGGTACCGAGAGCCGGGAACGGCTAGTGAAGTCTCCACACACAACCCCCAGGACGCAGATGAGCAAATGGGGCTGTGGAAGCCCAGGCCACTAAGCCGCCCAGGGCAGAGGCTGGCTTGTCACCTGGCCTGCCTGGGCCACTGCTCTGTCCGCCACCCACATCTGAGACCTTCCGAAGGCACGTGGCGCGGCATGGCGGGCAGCCGCTCCGCCTGGCCTCACCTGGCCGCGTCTTCTTCCAGCAGCAGCTTCACGAACTGCCGGGGCACGTGCAGGGAGAGCACGCTCTCCGCCATCTGCTCCAGGATCCGCAGGTGGTTGCCGTCGGTGGTGGGGAAGCGGTACATGCGGCAGATGGCGCCGCCGAACACTGAGGGACGGAGGAGGGACTGTGCGTGAGCAGGCTGCACACCCGGGCGGGTCCTGACTGTTCATCTCAATTAAACGTTTAAACCAAAAGCCACCAGCTGACTGAGCCTGCATGCTCTGCCCCTGGGACATGCAATCCCCTTGTCCCAGAATGCATCACCTACTCCCAAATACAAGGCTGCGCCAGTGAGGCCGGCGGCCACTAAGGCCAACGTCCGCAATAGACGGGGAGGCGGGGGAGGAAGCTCCTCCTTGGAGGTTTACCAACTCGTTAAACGCTGGCAAAGAAAGCTCAGCAGAGCCCGGCTGGCGAGGCTCAGTGGCTGAGCAGCGACCTATGAACAGGATTTCACAGTTCAATTCCAGGTCAAGTCAGATGCTCGGGTTGTGGGCCCGATCCCCAGTGTGGGGCAGCCGACCAATGATTCTCTCTCATTATTGATGTTTCTATGTCTGTCTCCCTCTCCCTTCCTCTCAGGAATCAATAATTTTTTATTTATTTATTTAAGAAAAAAGAGCTCAGCAGAGAGGAGCCCATCAGGCGCACAGCCGTGGCAGCCACAGCAGGGGGTGGAGAGGGTGACCATGGACATCCCCGAGACGGGCAGAGGACCAGGGAGGAGTCTGCTTACCCGATTTCAGTAAGGTGTCTTTACGCAATGAAGCATATTTGGATCGGATTCCCAATGCTTCGGTCAAGCTCTCGTCCACGGGCAGGACCATCTAGTGACACGTACAGGGAAGCGCAAGCAGCCGTGAGCTCAGGGGAGGCCAGCGCCCTCCGCAGAGGTGGCGGCTGCCGCATCTCCTAACAGAGCTCTCAAGATGGACGGCACCGTCAGCTCTACACTGAACAGGTCACCGAGACCACAGACTGGCCAACCCACGTCCCTGCACAGTGACCGTGTCCCACTCAACACTTTCCAGAAACGAGTGTCTTTGGACTACGTCATTTCACCTCCTATTTCAGAGTGTTGATGTGTAAAGTACAGGGAGGGGAAGTGATACCCAGAAATGTTTCCCTAGCTGACGTCCTGGCTCATTTGGGGTAAAAGGAGCTATGTCTGTACTTTAAAATGATATGTACCAGTGCTTGAGTTCTAAACTGGAATTCTAGTCTGAGAGCACAGATTGTTTCTGAACGTGAGAGAGAGAAGGTGAGGAGACGGCGTGGGAGGGGAAGGGAATGGGAAGACAGAGCCCGCGAGGGGGTGTGAGAGGCTGCAGGGTGTGCGGACGAGATGTGTGTGCATGAGGCGACCATGAGCACCTGAGTCCCTGGGAGAGGAAGATACTAACAATACCAAAGGCAGTCTGGGTCTCACTCCCCACCCTTCTCCCCTCTCCCCTCCTGTCTCCACCCTTCTCCACTCTCCCCTCCTGTCTCCACTCTTCTCCCCTCTCCTCTCCTGACTCCACCCTTCTCCCCTCTCCCCTCCTGTCTCCACCCTTCTCCCCTCTCCTCTCCTGACTCCACCCTTCTCCCCTCTCCCCTCCTGTCTCCACTCTTCTCCCCTCTCCCCTCCTGACTCCACCCTTCTCCCCTCTCCCCTCCTGTCTCCACTCTTCTCCCCTCTCCCCTCCTGACTCCACCCTTCTCCCCTCTCCCCTCCTGTCTCCACTCTTCTCCCCTCTCCTCTCCTGACTGCACCCTTCTCCCCTCTCCCCTCCTGTCTCCACTCTTCTCCCCTCTCCTCTCCTGACTCCACCCTTCTCCTCTCTCCCCTCCTGACTCCACCCTTCTCCCCTCTCCCCTCCTGACTCCACCCTTCTCCCCTCTCCCCTCCTGACTCCACCCTTCTCCCCTCTCCCCTCCTGTCTCCACTCTTCTCCCCTCTCCTCTCCTGACTGCACCCCCTCCACACCCCTCTCCCCTCCTGACTCCACTCTTCTCCCCTCTCCCCTCCTGTCTCCACCCTTCTCCCCTCTCCTCTCCTGACTCCACCCTTCTCCCCTCTCCCCTCCTGACTCCACCCTTCTCCCCTCTCCCTTCCTGACTCCACCCTTCTCCCCTCTCCCCTCCTGTCTCCACCCTTCTCCCCTCTCCCCTCCTGACTCCACCCTTCTCCCCTCTCCTCTCCTGACTCCACCCTTCTCCCCTCTCCCCTCCTGTCTCCACTCTTCTCCCCTCTCCTCTCCTGACTCCACCCTTCTCCCCTCTCCCCTCCTGTCTTCACTCTTCTCCCCTCTCCTCTCCTGACTCCACCCTTCTCCCCTCTCCCCTCCTGTCTCCACTCTTCTCCCCTCTCCTCTCCTGACTCCACCCTTCTCCCCTCTCCCCTCCTGTCTCCACTCTTCTCCCCTCTCCTCTCCTGACTCCACCCTTCTCCCCTCTCCCCTCCTGTCTTCACTCTTCTCCCCTCTCCTCTCCTGACTCCACCCTTCTCCCCTCTCCCCTCCTGACTGCACCCCCTCCAAACCCTCTTCCCTCCTGACTGCACCCCTCCACACCCTCTCCCCTCCTGACTGCACCCCCTCCACACCCCTCTCCCCTTCTGACTGCACCCCCTCCACACCCCTCTCCCCTTCTGACTGCACCCCCTCCACACCCCTCCCCCTCCTGACTGCACCCCCTCCACACCCCTCCCCCTCCTGATTGCACCCCCTCCACACCCCTCTCCCCTCCTGACTGCACCCCCTCCACACCCTCTCCCCTCCTCACTGCACCCCCTCCACATCCTCTCCCCTCCTGACTGCACCCACTCCACACCCCTCTCCCCTCCTGATTGCACCCCTCCACACCCTCTCCCCTCCTGACTGCACCCCCTCCACACCCCTCTCCCCTCCTCACTGCACCCCCTCCACACCCTCCGCCAGGTCACCCCATGTGGCCTGGGCAGAGCAGGCTCCAGGAGCAGAGCCTGAGGGGCTCCCCTCTCCCCCGGTGAGCAGCGCCGGGACTGGCAGGTCCTGCTCTTGCCCCGCGGCGGAGGCAGAGCCCATCCAGACAGGGGCCGTCACTCCTTCCCGGGGAGGGGCACTCACCCTCCCGTTGACGGTGTCCAGAGTCCGGGTCACTGGAGGCCGCTGGTCTGACTTCTCCTCCATCTGCCAGCCGATCACCGTGATGTTACCCACACGGTCACTCTCCGCAGACCTGCAACGAGCAACGCGCTTTGGGAAGTGGCGTCGTGGGGCTCCATTTCTGCATCAGCTCAGCATCCTGTCCCCGAGGTCTAGGGCGTGCCAGGACCTGGCCGCCAGCCGGGCAGCATTTGCTGCACGCCCAGACCTGGGGGGTGGAAACCAGGACTGGAGAGAACCTTCTTCTGAGACCAGACCCTTCCTGCTCCTTCCCGACCGTCCTCAAGCTTTTTTTTTTTTTTTTAAATATATTTTATTGATTTTTTACAGAGAGGAGGAGGGAGGGATAGAGAGTTAGAAACATTGATGAGAGAGAATCATCGATCAGCTGCCTCTTGCACACCCGTTACTGGGGATGTGCCCGCAACCAAGGTACATGCCCTTGACTGGGATCAAACCTGGGACCTTTCAGTCCGCACACCGATTCTCTATCCACTGAGCCACACCGGTTTTGGCCGTCCTCAAGCTTTGATTTTCCCCCAGGCCAAGGCCTGGACCCCAAGTCAGCTGAGGTCACCCAGGGTTTCCCAAAGCCTGTAATTCCTGGCCCCTCCAGCCGGCCAGGTTCACCCGAGACCGCGGGAGGGCTGCACCTGGGCCCATCTGGCTCAGCGGGGCGCCCGGGCTTGTATGAGACGTCTGACCGAGCCAGTCCTAACGTCCACCTGGTCTCCGCTGGTGCCAATCGCCTTTGTGACTCAGTGTCCTCATGCCGGAAAGTCCTTTCCCCGCACCACCCCAACGGTCATCCTCAGCTGCTTTACAAAGGACGATGCCCACTTCTTACGTGTGCTCGGTCCAATTGGGATTACTCCGGCACACCGTGTACCTGGTATTTTCCTCTACAGCCCGTCCCCACGCCCTCTCGTTTCCCTGGGATTCCTCCTCTCTCCCCGTCAGGTGCTTAGGATACAACAATGAAGCAAAACGGACAAAACCCCTTCTTTCTGGGAGCTGACACTCTGCTGGGGAGGAGGCAGACACTATGAGCTCATCTGGTCAATCAGATGTGATTTAGGTCTTCCTTCAGGTCTGAGTCCAGCTGTGCTCAGACTTACTACGATGCCACATGTGCCCACCTCCATTAGCCCTCTGACGGGCTGTTTGCTTTCCCTTCAGTGACAACCACTCCCTGCTAAGACTAGCCTCTGGGAGAGGCAGGAAATGAGGCCCTTCCCCACCAGTCCCTGGACCTCCGAACTCCAGATCCTTTCAAAGGAACAGAATTAAATACCAACCTCAGTGTTAAATGCAACCGATGATGCCTGTCCTGGAGCAGGTCCTTGACAATAAAGGTCCCAGAGCCCAGCAGGTACATCTGAGGAAGAAGGAACACAGTGTGAGCCTGGACTCTGCCTCGGCCCCATGCCCAGGCCGGGGCATGCTGGCTGCTGCCCGAGCACCTCTGACCCTCACTGCAGGAGCCCACAGGGACGTGCGGGAAGAAACTCTGAAGGCCAATCCGGGGACATCAATTAGTGAGCGAAGCCAGTCGCAGGTGCTCCTCTCACTGAAATGACTCGCTGAAAAGCGAAGAGAGGCCCCTGAGCCACACGCTACTTAACTGTTCCCTGAGATCTGTCTTTGACGTCGTACACGGAGAGCTTGATCTGCGTCATCTGATTGATGAGGGAGTCTTGGAAGAAGGCAATGCTGCTTAAGAATATAGGGTTGTTGGTTCCCTAGAACGGAAAAGAAAATCCTCAGAACACAGAGTTGAATTTTTAAGTTATTACTCATTTCACAATGAGAAACTAACATCCTTACCAACTTGGATCAACATTTGTTCATGCCGCTTAAACAAATGCAGTCAACCAAGACCCTGCTTTTCAAGGACGAAGGCGTCCCACAGACCCCTCCCTGCCCAGACACAGGCGGGCCCTCAGGAGGCTGCTACAGCATGGAAACAGGCTGAACGTTCACGTGTTGTTCAACTGGAGAGATACACTATGCAACTGCATCTACTGCTTTGGGCTGTTCCTGTAAGGTGTCCAAGGCGGATGGGAGAGGAAATGAATAGTTAAGTCGTTTCTTACTTCCAGAATCCTGTGGTTTGGAATAATGAAGACCTGACCTATTTAAACCTGAGGACTAGCTGCTAGTTTCTAGATAACAGGTGGTTGTTCCTGGCAGCTTGGCCTCACTCCCTGCCCCAAAGCCCCACAATAACATGCTCCCTTTCTCAGGCAGCGTTAGTTACCTCAGCCAAACGGCTCACGCTGCACCTGTGTGAGGCCAGGCCGCTGGCTGAGCCCCCTCTGCAGCTCCAGATCCAGTCTCCAGCCTGTGGACAGCGCCTCCCCCCCTCTGCCCTGCTTAACCACTGACTCTCCTCCCCGGGAGGCTACAAACGTGGGCATCTGCCTCGGTACCTCCTTCTCGGCATTCTCAGCCTCCAAGTTACAATAAACTCTTCCATAAACCTACTCTCACCCTGGCCAGTGTCCTCAGTGGTTAGAGCATCAGCCCGAGCACTGAAGGGGCTTGGGTTCAATTCCTGGTCAAGGGCACATGCCTGGGTTGCAGGTTAAATCCCCAGCCTTGATCAGGCACGTGCAAGAAGCAACCAATTGATGTGCCTCTCGTACATCAACGATTCTCTCTCTCTCCCGCGCTCGCTCTCTCTCTCTCTCCTGCGCTCGCTCTCTCTCTCTCTCTCCCTTTCTCTCTCTCTCTCTTTCTCTCTCCCCCCCGTCCCCCTCCTACCCTCTCTAAAAATCAATGGGAAAAATATACTCTTTTGGGTGAGGATTAACAAAACAAAACAAAATTAAGAACCCTCTGCACCCCTGCCCCTCCTTCCCAATGCGCCAGGTGCCACATCACACTCCCTCAGCACCTCTGGTCAGGTGACCCTCACGCGGAACTCCCCGCCTGACTTCTGAGGCTTCCCCCTTGCTCTCCACCTGTGCCTTCTGCACACACTGACCAGGCTGACGTTATTCTCCGAGCCACAGACGCTCCCCACCGCCATTACGGAACTCTGCAGTGCTCTGCAGCATGCGGTCCCTAGCCCGGCCGCTGGGCATGACCTGGAGCCTGGGAGAAACACAGTCTCAGGCTCCACTGACCTACCGAGTCAGAATTTCACTCGGTGGCACAGGAAGCCGCCTCCAGTCCTCAGAACTGACTGGGACCCCCTCCTGGTGCTAACCTCACCCTGACGCTCCCCGCACTCTGCTGGGCACAGATCCCCACATTTCGTTCCCGCCCCGCCCTCAGGAGGCCAACCTCGTGGGGCAGGGCCGGACCTCCGTGGCCTCTGCTCCCCCGCAGCCCAGCCCTGTGCTGCGTGCAGACAGTGCTCAACAAAGGCGCAGGCACAGGACTGCTGACTTGAACGTGGAAACAAGTTTACAAGAGAATGAAAAGGTCTCTTCCAAAATGTAAAGGAGGGCCGCGGAGGCAGTGCAGGGAGCTCAGGCTACCCGCGGAACCCACACCAACGCCTCCTCTTAGTTTCACAGCCTACACACTGTGCTCAATGGTCTACACGGCTCCTGTGACATCCCCAAGGTGAATGCGTCACAGTTACTTTAAGGAAAAAGTAAGTGTGTAACACACAACTCAAAAGGATACGAAATAAAAACCAACAAAAATAGGGGTATGTCCAGGAAGAGGGTAAGTTAAGAGTTACTCTCCAAATTTGATCAATGAGCATAATTTATAAAAGTAGCAGCCAACTGGAAGTGACAAGGAAGAACTGGATCTTCCTCTTAAAAGGCAACCAATTTTATAGCATCCCTGTTCAAAAATAACCAGCCAGTAACTGATCAATAATTGTAAAGGATATGGAAAAAAAAAAAAAAAAAAAAGGGCCCTCCAAAACTGTGATGAAAATATCAATTGCTAAACACACACGGACAACAGCAAGAATTCAGAGAAAGGATCCCAGCTGCGGGTGCTCAGGTGGCTGAGCAGCCTCCCTGGGGGAGCCTGTCCCGGCCTCGGGGCCAGCAGACCCACCTCGATGATCTCGGTCTGCGCGTGCTTCGTCCAGAATGCCTGAGGAGGGGTGGTCACACTCACGGCCACAAAACTATTTGGTTTCCGGTCTAGCGATGGCGTGTGCAGCTCACTACAAGCTATGGAATCGAACGGGAGAGAAAAGAATCCTTTAAAACCAGGTTCTAGTTAGTTCTCTGTTCCGCACGCTCAGGAGCAAAGACAGTAAATGACACTCAAAGGGGTGAGGCAATCACACTGTCTATCCGCTGTCTCAATCACACTGTCTATCCGCTGTCTCAGTCACACTGTCTATCCGCTGTCTCAGTCACACTGTCTGTCCGCTGTCTCAGTCACACTGTCTGTCCGCTGTCTCAGTCACACTGTCTGTCCGCTGTCTCAATCACACTGTCTGTCCGCTGTCTCAGTCACACTGTCTGTCCGCTGTCTCAGTCACACTGTCTGTCCGCTGTCTCAATCACACTGTCTGTCCGCTGTCTCAGTCACACTGTCTGTCCACTGTCTCAATCACACTGTCTGTCCGCTGTCTCAGTCACACTGTCTGTCAGCTGTCTCAGGGAACCGATTTTTTCATTGGAAACAATCTCTTCCCACTCCCCCGACGCCATGGCAGCAGCCCTCGCTGAGGGTCAGGTGAGCCAAGGGGCTTTCTGTGCCACGGGATGGAGCACAGAGCCGACACCTCACATGCACGTCTAAGCATTGTGTTCTAAGCATTTTGGAAGCGATGATAAGACTCACAGTGGCTACGGGGAAAACGGCCTTATGGCATGGACTCCAACACGTATCTGTGAAATGCAGTGAAAGAAAAACCCACTGCCACGAGACTAGGAAATGCTACCGATCACAGACACTTCGTTTCAGAAAATCATGAGGAAGCATCCTCCGCGGAGCTGACTGCATGTGTGGCAATCGAAGTTCAGCCCCGAAGAAACAGCCTTCCTGGCAGAGCAGTGACCGCCCCGAGTGCTGGGGCGTTTGCTTGCGTTCGGAGGTTCTCCAACAACCGACTTCGACCCCTTTGTGTCAGTGCTCTCACTGCCTTTGGGAGGAAAACATCTTGGAGGGCCTCACCCTGTCATTCCTGCTCCCATCTTTCTCATTTGATTTTTTTGTTTGTTGTTTTCTGTTAGGATTAGGGTTAGTGTTAGGGTTAGGATTAGGGCCAGGGTTTTTAAAATGCTCAATTTGATTTTTAAAATGCTCTCTAGTGATTTAAAGTTTAGAAACTGACTTTTACTTCTGGAAATTAATTTTGGTTCTCTAATTATCCCCTTTATAACATTGTTTAGTGCTGCCTCAAAGGTGGGAGAGGCTCTCGTCACCACCGCTTTGCTCACCAGCCATGAGCCGGCTTCTAGGTGAGTGTCACTACTCCTGTGGGAGCGCACTCACCACCAGGAGGCAGCTCCTGCATTGGGCATCTATCCCCTGGTGGTCAGTGTGCAACATAGCAAATGGTCTTCTGCCATTTGGTCAATTTGCATACTACCCTTTTATTATCCTATATAATAAAAGCCTAATATGCAAATTGTCCCCTTGAGTTTGGGAGTTGACTGCTAGCTATGACATGCACTGACCACCTGGGGGCAGCACAGAACATGGTGGGTGTCGGTGACACAGTGTTGGCAGCGGGCAGCAATGGAGGCACTGCCAGCCCTGATGGACCCCAACGAGAGCAGAACCATGACGGAATGGTGGAGCAGGTGAGAGGGCAGCACCAGGCCAAGGCAGGTGCAAACAGAGGCCCAATCGCCCTGCCGATCACCATCAGCAGATGGCCACCACCAGCAGTGGGCCACCACCAGGACCTCTGCCCGGCTCCAAGGTGCTGAGGGAGCCAGGCGGGGGACCCGGTCCCAACTGGTCGCCCTGTAGGAGGGATGGTGGAGCAAGTGAGGGGGCAGTGCCAGGCCAAGGTGGGGTGCCAGGCAGTGCTGTGAGGCTGAGGGTGTAAACTGGGCCCAATGCCCGCAGGCCACCCCGAGGAACCCTACCCATGCATGAATTAGTGCACCAGGCCTCTAGAACAGGATAAGAAAATACAAAGAGCTTGGCTTTTGAGTTCTGAGAGTCATACAGAACTTTCCCCTCAGGCTAGAAAGTTCCTCTATACTTCCAGCCTCTGCCCACCTCGGCAGCCACTTTCTGACTTCCATCACTGTTGTTTGCTCTTGAATTGCACATAGGTGGCATGTTTTAAGATTCACCTATATTGATATATATATATATATATATATATATATATATATATATATATATTCCACTGTATAAATGCACTAATTTTTTTTTAATCCATTTTGTTAGTAGACATTTGGGTTGCTTCATTTTGAGCCATTATAAATAAAGGGCTATAAATATTCTTGTTCAAGTCTTCCTGTGAACGTAGGTTTTCCTTCCTCTTGACAAGCACCTAAGGGTGGCATTTCGAGGTCACAGCAGAGGATAGGTCTCACTTCAAAGGCCAACCGCTCTCTAGGCGGCTGCACCGTTGTACACGCCATCACAACGTGCAGGAATGCCAATTGCCAACACTTGTGAGCTCAGTGCTTACCTGTTGTTCTAATAGATGTTTTAATTCACATTTCTGTGATATGAAACATCTTTTCACCATATGCTTACTGGCCATTTTTATAACTTCGTCAAGAGTCTAATCAAGACTTCTGCTTATCTTTAAATTGGATTGTTGACTTTTTAATTGCTGATGTGTAAGCATTCTACTTTACAACTGCTCTCTGTCCAATATGTGTTGTGGATATCCTTTTCCCAATCTGTGGTTTATCTACTCATTTCCTTAAACATTTTTAGATCATTTTATTTTAGACTTATAATTTTAGGGACTGGTTGGCAGAAAAATGTCCCTCCCACACAAAAAAGTACCCACGTCCTCATCCCTGGAACCTGTGAATATATTACATCTCCAGCAAAGGACTGCAGATGTGGCTGGGCCGTGGGATCCTCACATGTGACACAGAGCTCGTCTGTATCGTCTGAGTGGTCTTATCTGATCAGGTGAGCTCTTCAAGCAGGAGAGGAAGGTGGAGTAGAAAGGTGACCAAGGAGAAGGTGAGTCCAAGGTGTGAAAGGACCGACCTGGCACTGCTGGCTCTGAAGGTGCGAGAGGGGCCCACGAGTCAAGAAAGGTGAGGCGTCTCTAAGCGGAGAACCAGCCTCAAGTGGCAGCTGGCAAAGAAATGGAGCCAGTCCAAAACGGTGAGGAACTAAAGCTCGCCAACAATCTGAATGAGCGAGGTAAGGGCCTCGCTGCCCCCAGGAAGAAACGCAGCCCTAGCGACGGGGCTTCGGTGCTGCAAGAGCCAGCAGAGATCCAGCTGAGCCCCCTGGAGTTCTGACTTAAGGGAACTATGAAGATAGTGCTTGTGTCATAAAGTGTTAAAAGTGTGGAGGTTACGGCAACAATAGCAAGCTGAAGCAGAGTTAGTACTTTTTTTTTTGCTTTCTAAGAAATCTTGGTCCACCCCGAGGCTGAGTTATTTCATTGGCTTTATGTCTTAAAGTTCTCTTCCATTTTTCCTACTAGTCGACCTCAGCAGCAACTGGGGATTTGACTGTTCTTCCGTCTCCCCTCCTTTATGCTGTGCCCTTAAGGGAGCGTGGTCTGGTCCCTCTTGGCTTGCCTGCACCAGGTGTGGCTCTTCACACACACATGCAAGGCCAGAGGGGCTGGGCCTTCCAAGCACAAGTGGTGGCTGAGCAGTAACAGCTGGCCAAAGGCTGGGAAGATGAACCAGTTTAAGGGCTGATGAGCCAAATGCCACCTTCAGAACACACCTTCCAACAAGTGACATTCCCTCCTGGCCTCATCCCCGACCCAGCCTACCTAAATGTCACCCAGTGTTTACTTCCTAGCGCTAAGTTCCCTAGCTCCCACAGGCTTTCTCAGCACCCCACAGTTACTGCTCATATCACTCCTTCAGCCTATTTCCTCAGTCACTATTAATCTCTGACACGCATGCCTTGTCTCTCCAACCAAATCATCTGTAATCCCAGCTGAGTTATCACTGTTGAGGTAAACGAATAAAGCATATTTCACGTGCATATCATTTGACTCAGCAATTCTAGATCTAATAATTTGTTCTAAGAAAATAACCAGAAAAAATATATGAAAGATCTATGTGCAAATATGTGCACTGTGGTGGTGCTTATAGTGGCAAACAGGAAAAGATCTAGGTCACCAACAGACAGGTCGAGATGCGTGTGGCACAGCGTGCTCAAATTCTCTCTGGGCACCAGTACGATGAGGCAGCTCCATGTTTATCAGAATGAAAGGTGCCAGTGATATTTTGCTACATGAGAAAAAAAAGCCAATTTAAGAACACTAGGGTGACATTTCTATAAATAATTTCACCATCTCCAAACCAAAATCCTTTTATAGCACTGTGTGGGTGCAAAAATACCTGGGAGGACTCACACCAAAATGCCAACTCTGAGTTTCTCTCTCTCAGAAATTTTTCCTCTAACATTTGCTGTAATAGATGTTTTAAAATAAGCACTTTTCTTTTTGTTAATCCTCACCCAAGGACATTTTTTTCCTATTGGTTTTTTAGGGTGTGGAAGGGAAAAAAGGTGGAAGGTTGCCTTCAGCAGATGCCCCAAGGGGGGCCAGAGAGAGAACCTGCAACCCAGGTATGTGCCCTTGACTGGGAGTTGAATCCATGATCCTTCAATCCATGGGATGAATGCTCTAACAACCAAGCTACATGGGCCAGGACAGCACTTTTTAATTTAAAAAAAAAATTTTTTTTTAATTTTAAGACAAAATATTTGATCATTCAATCATCTGGCTCCTCACTTTTTTTTTTTCCTTAATTGTGGTAAAATTCACTTCACATAAAATTCACCCTCACCTTCTAAGACTGTTTCTTCCTCTGTGTCTCTGTTTCTTGACTTGTCACATGCAGAAACAGCTTGATGTCTATCTAGGGGTGAGAGTCTCAATTCTATCAACTCTATGCGCTCTGTGCTCCCTCAGTGTGGCTCCTTGTTTGGTTAAATGCATATTCTGCACCATTAAATCCATGCCCTGTGAGCAGCATTCACCAGGAGCCAAGTGAGGTTCCTCACTTCTCTCCTGTGCTGGACCCCACCTGTTCCCCAGACCCCAGGTCTCGCTTCTTCTCATTTCGCTCCCCTGTAGTGAAGCACACCCTGCACCAGCTTCCAGAGAAAGGATGGGGGAAGTAAGTTCTTCTGAGACTGTAGTTGAGACAAATTTCCTCCTCCCTTATGTTGGATGGACAGCCTGGCTGAGCACAGCATCCCAGTAGGAAAGTTTTTTGTTTGTTTTTTTTAAAATATATTTTATTGATTTTGTACAGAGAGGAAGGGAGAGAGATAGAGAGTTAGAAACATCGATGAGAGAGAGTCATCGATCAGCTGCCTCTTGCACACCCCCTACTGGGGATATGCCCCCCGCAACCAAGGTACATGTCCTTGACCGGAATCGAACCTGGGTCCCTTCAGTCCCCAAGCCGATGCTCTGTCCATTGAGCCAAACCGGTTTCGGCTCGGTAGAAAGTTTTCCACCCGCACTGAAGGTGCTGCCCTCACTGCCTTCACGTTTCCAGTGTGACAGGAACTTTCTACACTCCCTTCCTGCCTGGTCCCTGGATGTGACCTCTGAATTCCCTCCTCTGAGTTTCCGAGCCTTCACTGGATTACCCGTGTGTGGACTTTCACCACGGTGGGTCTCAGGACAGGTGTTTTCAACGTGCGGGCCTGGTAGGCATGTTTAACCCGGACACACATCCTTCAGACCTGACAGACCTCTGGCATCACTGCTTGGTCATTTCCTCCCTCACATTCTTTTCCATTTTCTCTCCGAAGTTTTAGACCTCCTGAATTTGCTCTCTAATTTTCCATTTCAATTTCTCTCCTGTTTAATATTTCGCTTTTAGAGTTTTACTTTCTGAGATAATTCCATGAATACCTTCCATCCTTTATTGAATTTTAAAATATTTCCTATCCTATTTTAAATTTTTAAAATTATCCATGTTTTCCTACTGTTCTCTTTCTCTTTAGAGCATCCTGTTTTTATTGGATGTATACACCAACTTCCCTTGAGGCTATAAATTATAATCTCAAACATATAATTTAGTATATAAAATATACGTTAACTATATTCATGTAAATATAAAATTTATATAGAACCCTCGTGTCCTCAGCAGAATAAACTATGGCTGGCACACAATGGAAGCCACTCAGAGAGGCAGGATGAGTTCTGGCCGCAGAGCTGCCCGTCCAGCGCTAGTCCAGAGCATTATACGAAGTGAACTCAGCCACACCCAGAGGCTGGGCACTGCGCGATTCTACTGTGTGAAACCCGTGAGGCCTCACTCCAGGAAACAGGCCGACAGCTGACTGGGAGTGAGGCTGAGAACACGAGGCTAGTGGTTACATGCATAATATGCTTATCAAAACTCATTGATGCTACACTTAAAATGGGGACATTTTACATACAAATTATAGCTCAATGTTTTCTTAAAACAAAATGAAAGAGGAGTCAAAGATAACCAGGCTTTGTGGAAGGCCCGTAACATGAAAGAAAATATAGAACTTGGAAGACCTGAGAACTTGCAGAAAGTAGAAGACAAGGTCAAAGAAAGTACACGTCAGAGCAATGACAGCTGCAGAGTCCGTTTCTGATTCCTCCTGATGTTTGGGTGATGCAGGACAAGGGGTGGAGTGTGCTCACACTCTGCTGTGAACTTGGACTGGCATCACAGCTTGTAAAGAGCAATAAAGCTCCAGCTGATGGGCACCCCGTGCACAGCCGTGCTCACTGCCCACTGCAGACCAGGCATCAGGCAAGGACTGGGAACCCTGAACTAGCTTAGAAGCATGAAACCTGAAATGGGGACGTTTCAGAATTTAAATTTTGGTAGTAATGCACTTGTATTTTTATGGGTTTAGCAACTTGTCAAAGTCCTTCTGTTTTGTTTTAACCACTATGAGCTTGTCTCTCAAACAACACCTCATACGACCCATGAGGAAACCCATCCAGCAAGGTCAAGGGCAGGCTCAAGGCTGGGCAGTTAGTTTACAGCACAGTCTGGACGAGATTCCAGGTCGTCTGGTTCACAGCATCTCTTAGAGACCTCTGCCAGGTCACTGGCCAATGCTGACCACAGTCCAGGAGATGAGGGGAGGGGAGGGGGCCACCAGAGCCCAGTGCCTCCAGATAAACATCCCAGCTGGCCCCGCCTTGCTCTCCTGCCACACTTCCCGATCCCAGGGCTGGCTCAGTCTCTGATGCTCTGAGAGGGAGCGCACACAAGTGTCATCACCTGTGGTCACAGAGTAGGGAATGAGGACTAGGGAGCTAAACTCAACCTCACAGGCCTCCTGGCCAGGGGCTGCACTGCTAGCCCTAAACCCGCTTTCCCACCCCTCCAGTCTCGGCAGCTCGGGGTGGGCTCCCCCCTTCCAGCCGGCCCTGCAGGTGTCCTCCCAGCCCCACCCACAGGAAGTCCGCACCAGCCTCCGGTTCATCTTCTCAGCAGCATGTCAGCAGCAGACAGTGGCATCAAGTTCCCCAGCAGTTAGTTGTGTTTTTGAGGAACATACATTGTTATCGAAAACAATTAAAGACACCCACCTAAGCTGAACTCTAAAATGGGTTCATCTGGATCCTGTAGATTTCCTGAATAAAAAAGAAATGCCAGACAAAAGTCAGCCTTAGTCAACTTTTCTCTGCTTTCAAGTTTTATACAAAAAACACACAACCCAACACACTTATCATCATTTCACAGTGTTTGTGAATCAAACCACACACCTTAAACACATACAGTGCTGGGTGTCAATTATTTCTCAATTAAACAGGGGTGGAGGGAAGAGATGGACTCCAATATTCTACTTATTTTTTTTATCAAAACTTATGTGAGATGATTTCTTCATTTTATAAACTTTTTGTTCTGAGATTTCTAAAACGTCTCAGACTCCAAGACCAAACCCCTACCTTCCCAGGTCTGCATACCCACAACAGACAGGCCTTTTGCTATGGCCTGGGCTCTGGCCAGACCGGCCCCATGGACACTCCCACATCAGCTCCTGCCAGGAAACCTGCAGTCTGGCTTCCTCGGAGGCAGTGCCAGGGAGAGGGCTGGCTTTCCCCGCCCTATTCTGACTCACCCAGAGGAGGCCACCTCGGGCAGGCACCTCCAGCCTGGGGCAGTCACAGGGGCTCATCCTGGCTGTCCCCGGTGCCCCAGGAGGCATGGTGCCCCGCCCAGCACTGCCAGGTGGGAAGAACTGGAGCCGCCCCGAGAGGCTCACCTGCCAGAGAGAGGCCAACCATGTCCGCGGCCACATCCACGGTGGAAGCCCGCTGCAGCGCACGGGCCCTGGCGCCATGGCGAGGGCTGTGCTCTCTTGCTGTCATGATGTCATTGGTGATGATGTGTTTCCTGCTCCTGGGTCAGACCACGCCTGACTCCTCGGGGAGAGCTGTCATTCAGCCCCGTCCCTAAGATGGCAGCGGTCCTGAGGCATGAGAACGGACAATGGTGAGAAGCGCAGAGACGGTGGCCGGAAGGCGCTGGGGGAGCACAGAGTGTGTGAGCTACCGGAGCAGCACAGTGAGGCCAGGGTCCCAGCAGGCCGGGCAGGGGCAGAGGAGTCTGATGGTCTAGATCTCTCCCATCACCACACTCCCTACGCTCCCGGCACTCACACACCAACACCGCAGGCCCCTGGGACCCATACAGAAATCGTCTTCTCTCTGACAAAGACATGTCGCTTTAAACGATGTTTTCCATACAATCGTAAAGCATGGCTTATGAGATTTGATTTGCTTTGTTAAGCTTTTCCCTTGGCAAGTCTCTAGAATTTCATAAAATTTAAAGCCAATTCCCTACAACCTGTTAGGATACAGATGCATGAAAGGTTTGCCACCCTGGCTACAACAGGTGGGGCGGGGGACAAAGGCACATGCCCTCCAGCCTTGCCCTTTGTCTTCCCAGAGCTACAGACTTTATGTGGGTCTTGGTCCCGCCTTTCTTTTGCACAAAACATATACGTGATTCTCGAGAGCGGAGAGTGCTGTGCTGGGGTGTGGCCATCTCTGAGGGCGGCCTCTGCCGGGGGGGGGGGGGGGGGGGGGGGGGGGGGGGTGTCAGACAGCCAGTCAGACAGCTGCCACGTGGGAAGCAGGAAGTGAGCCTCACATTCTCCCAGCCCCACGCACGCGTGCTGCCATGCCTGCCGTCTCTAGAAGGCACCGCCCTTTGGGAGGTAAGGTAAGGAGACGGGCAGGGGGGCTGGTTTAAAACACCCTCCACGCCTGTGGTTTCCAGCCACCCCGTCTTCTCTCGGGTGCCCGCACCTCTGCCAGAAGGGCCCGGGGTCCTGCTCCTGAGGGGGCTCCCTCACCCAGCAACTTACTGGTCATGTTTGTTCCTGGATCCGTGGAGACACGTGGCATTTCTTCATAGAAGCATATCCAATTCCATTGCCTAAAAGCAGAAAGTTACACACTTAACAAGCTGGTCAGCACACAGGGAGTTCTTGTGAAAGAATACATTATAACTCCAATACCTAGAAACATGGGAACGCCACAGGCTAGTCCATGTTCCTCTCTCCACACACCAATCTACCTTCTGGCTCAAAAACAAGGTTTTGCTCAAAGCCCAAAGGAATGAGGCCTAGAAAACACACACTCTGTTCCACTTTAGGGGTGACCCAGGGAAATCTGAGCCAGCCCTAAAGAGCCACGTGAGCAGCTGGGGTGGATCAGGGATAATGGGAGGTGAGGATCTGAGCCTCAGTCCTCCCTCTCACAGGCCTCGGGTCCGAAGAGAAGCATTTTGCCGCCTAAGATGAAGCTAGTTGTACCATCGCACAGGATGCACCGAGAACCAGACCTTCCACAACGGGAGAGGGCTCTGCACACTCCACTCGGCTCCCCAGCCTCTGCTGGCCCGCAGATGCCAGTGGGCAGCAGGACCCCCCAACTCTGACTCCGTCCCAGGACTGCTGGGGAGATGTCGGGGCGAACCTGGGGCCCAGACCCCTGGAAGAGCAGCACACTCAGTCCCTGGAGCTGAGCTCCTGCCTCTCCCACTGGGACACCCGGGACCTCCAGCCGGTGCCCCAGCAGAGGAGCATGGCCTGGCGGGGTCACAGGAGAAGTCACCGGGAAGATGCATGTTTGCTGAAATCGGAAGGCATACAAGTCAAAAATAGGCGATAAAACTGAGGAAGTTTTATAGTACTAATACCTGTGAACCTGCAATTTACAAATTAATTTTAAAAACTCACTAAAAATCCAAGTAGCAAAAGGTAAGAATTCATAAAAGAGTAATACATGTGGTAAACATTTTGAACAGGGACCAGACTCACTCTATAATAAAAAGAATGCTCACCACTCCTCCATTTCCCTAAATCAGTCTGCCAAAAGCAGTTAGTCCTATTCAGAATATGCTTTGTGAGGGATCTAGAGGAAATTCCACAGGACTGTCCTGTAGTGCTGATGACATACTACAGTACTACAAGCATTTTTTAATCAAACATTATTTATCAAAATTTGTCCACAACAAAATTCTCGCCAATGACCCAAAGATGCTTCCTGCAGTATTGCTTATAATGACAAACTGAGACCATCCAGGTACCCACTGCAGGTGCCAGTGTGTCAACACATGTGAACACTGACATACGTGTTCACATGGTCCTAATAAAGCCAACAACCACATGGACCGCTCTCCCATCTCATCAGCCACCAGGAAAAGGCACGTCATAGGCATGAGATAGTGCATACCCACTAGAATGGCTGAAATGAAAAGACGGCAATACCAGGTGTTGGTGAGGACGAGGAGTAATGGCCCCTGAGATACTGCTGGAGGAGGCAAGGGCACGGCCACTCTGGAAAACGCAGTATCTGCTCAAACCGAACACACATCCATCCCGAATCCGGAATTACTGATAGAAATGTATGCTTCTATTCCCCCCAAAGATGTGAAGAACATTTAGAGCAGTAACATTTATAACAGTTAGAAACCGGAAACAACCCAAATGCCCACCTACAGCAGGTGAATACAGCAACACAGGTGGCTCCCAGAAATGGTATCAAGGGGAGAGCCAGGCACACAAAGCACCTCTGGGCAACTGTGTCTCTACGAGGCTTGGGCACAGCCCAATGCGTCCTTGGTGTCAGAGTCCAGACGGTGGTCCCTCTGAGGGGTGAGTACTGACGGAGGGGAGGAGGGACGGGGTCCTACCTCAATAAAAAGTTTACGTTTTTCAATGGCTGCGATGGAGACAACACAGTACGAAAGATGTTTCTGTCAGTTCTGCACCATGTGGGTTTTCCATGTACTATTCTGCTTGTGACCTGGTTATAGCCCTTCCTTAAAAAGATGTGCACGAAGGCAAAGAGCCAGCAGGAGGCCGCAGCAAGACAGTGGCCATGTGTGGGGCCATGTCGGGGCACGGCTTCCTTTCTTGGCTGTCACCCGCTTGCGTCACTGAAATCTGCACTCCATGCTGGTGGAGGCAGAGGTGGCACCTGGAGATGAATCAGCCAGGAAGCTCTTCTCAATTGAACCCCCCTTCCCCCCGGCTTGTCCATAAAGATACAGCCGCCTTCCCTTCAGCTGGGACAGCAGAGACCTGCCACCTACCTCAGGGCTCATCTCACCCTGACATCTCAACCACCCAAGGGAGCTCCCAGCCCCGTCCCCTGCAGGGTGGCTGCCCACTCCCCCACCCGCCCTTTCCCAGGAGGCAGTTGAGTAGTAAAGGCATTATGAGATTCTGGGGATAGTCATGCTTCAAGGGGAACATCTACAGACTAATTGTACAAGCTTGATAGGGTTCACAGGTCACAGAAGCTTTTAGGTCAAAAAGACCTCAGAAGGCAGTTGGTGGTTACTTGGGGGCATTTAATTAGAATCTGCAATTTAAGTCATCAAGACCCAGAACAAAACGCTAATTTGCACAGCTAAACTCAATTCCTGTGTAAATCTCATTAATTTAAGGTGATTCACCAAGGATTCTCATATTCCCATGGTCCCCGTTTTTTTCCCCATTTGAAGATTGAAGCTCATTAGAAGTGAAATTACTCTTAAAAAAAAAAAAAAAAAAAAAGAGGACAGAGGGGAGGAGCTGTTTGGAGGACTGGGCTGGGAGGGAGGCGAGAAGATGGCAGGGGCACGCAGGACACTAACTGCCTCCTCTTCCTCACTCGGAGAACCACGTGGTCCCGGCTGACGGACACTGGCCATCGAGCCAGCCATGTGGGCCTACGCAGGGAGAGGGCCGGGGCAAGCGAGGCAGCGAGGGAGGCCGGGACTCACCCAGCTCCACAGGACCAGTGAGGCGGCACCACTGTCAGACGCTTCTCCAGGGGCCAGTCTTGCCGCCTCCAGAGACCAGGCAGCTTGCGTCAGACAAAGAAGGCTGGCCCCGCTGCTCAGTGAGCTCTGGGGAGGACTAACCACGGAGCCTGCTTTTTAAAAATTTATTTGGTTAATCCTCACCTCAGGATATTTTCCCATTGATTTCCAGAGAGAGTGGAAAGGAGGGGGGAGGCAGAGAGGAAGAGAGAGACATCCATGTGGGAGAGACACACTGATTGGTTGCCTCCTGCACGAGCCCCAACTAGGGATGGGATCAAACCTGCAACCCAGGTGCGTGCCCTTGTCTGGGAATCGAACCCAAGACTCTTCAGTGTGAGTGAGGGCTGATGCTCTAACCATGAGCCACACCGGCCAGGGCCAGAGGCGGCTTTTACTGATCTGATACACTGGGATTCTTCTGAAAATAACCTTAAAAAGGAGATGCACAGGTGAGGTCACGGAAATCCAGACACTTCCTCAGGGCCACGTGGAGGCACAGAGAGGAGGAGAAACAACCCAAAGCCAAGGCCAAGCGCAGCTGGGGCTGTCCTCCCTGCCCTCCGCGGCCCAGCAGGCCTCTCCCGGTCGCTGGGAGCCGGGGGCTAAGAGCAAGCCTCCCCTGGCCTCCTCTCCTGACCAGGCAGCAGTGAAAGTCAGAGAGAAAGGCTGGGTGAGTCAGCGTGTGAGTCAGCAGCCCGACGAGGAGCCACCTCCGGAGGCAGAAAGAGGAAGCGTTTTCTCTCAAAACCCCTAATCCAGGCCAGCCGCGATGGCCGGTGAGGAGGCATCCCGCGGCTCACTGGCACCCAAGCCTGGGAGAGGGCCGCCCGCGCCGCACCAGGCGTGCCCTGCAGACAGCGCCCACCGCTGTCCTTCCAGAGTGCCCACGCGGCTGGCCCGCCGGGACCTGTGTCTTATGAGCAACACCCTCCTGGTGCAAAGACTAGGTTTTAGACAAACACCTGCTGGTAAACAAACTTTAAACTTCTGTGGCAACTTTTGCTCACCAGAGTCTGGCTTTTTCCTGCCTGCAAGATACCCACAGACA